TACTGTAAACCTAAACTGTCCTAAACTGTAAATCTGTACTGTAAACCTAAACTGTAAATCTGTACTGTAAACCTAAACTGTCAATCTGTACTGTAAACCTAAACTGTAAATCTGTACTGTAAACCTAAACTGTAAATCTGTACTGTAAACCTAAACTGTCAATCTGTACTGTAAATCTGTACTGTAAACCTAAACTGTAAATCTGTACTGTAAACCTAAACTGTAAATCTGTACTGTAAACCTAAACTGTAAATCTGTACTGTAAATCTGTACTGTAAATCTGTACTGTAAATCTGTAAATCTGTACTGTAAACCTAAACTGTAAATCTGTACTGTAAACCTAAACTGTCAATCTGTACTGTAAACCTAAACTGTAAATCTGTACTGTAAACCTAAACTGTCAATCTGTACTGTAAACCTAAACTGTAAATCTGTACTGTAAACCTAAACTGTAAATCTGTACTGTAAACCTAAACTGTAAATCTGTACTGTAAACCTAAACTGTAAATCTGTACTGTAAACCTAAACTGTAAATCTGTACTGTAAACCTAAACTGTCAATCTGTACTGTAAATCTGTACTGTAAATCTGTACTGTAAATCTGTACTGTAAACCTAAACTGTAAATCTGTACTGTAAACCTAAACTGTAAATCTGTACTGTAAATCTGTACTGTAAACCTAAACTGTAAATCTGTACTGTAAACCTAAACTGTAAATCTGTACTGTAAACCTAAACTAAACTGTAAACTGTAAACTGTAAAACTGTAAACTGTAAATCTGTACTGTAAACCTAAACTGTAATCTGTACTGTAAACCTCTAAACTGTAAATCTGTACTGTAAACCTAAACTGTAAATCTGTACTGTAAACCTAAACTGTAAATCTGTACTGTAAACCTAAACTGTAAATCTGTACTGTAAACCTAAACTGTAAATCTGTACTGTAAATCTGTACTGTAAACCTAAACTGTAAATCTGTACTGTAAACCTAAACTGTAAATCTGTACTGTAAACCTAAACTGTAAATCTGTACTGTAAATCTGTACTGTAAACCTAAACTGTCAATCTGTACTGTAAACCTAAACTGTAAATCTGTACTGTAAATCTGTACTGTAAACCTAAACTGTAAATCTGTACTGTAAACCTAAACTGTAAATCTGTACTGTAAACCTAAACTGTAAATCTGTACTGTAAACCTAAACTGTAAATCTGTACTGTAAATCTGTACTGTAAATCTGTACTGTAAACCTAAACTGTCAATCTGTACTGTAAATCTGTACTGTAAATCTGTACTGTAAATCTGTACTGTAAACCTAAACTGTAAATCTGTACTGTAAATCTGTACTGTAAACCTAAACTGTAAATCTGTACTGTAAACCTAAACTGTAAATCTGTACTGTAAACCTAAACTGTAAATCTGTACTGTAAACCTAAACTGTAAATCTGTACTGTAAATCTGTACTGTAAACCTAAACTGTAAATCTGTACTGTAAATCTGTACTGTAAACCTAAACTGTAAATCTGTACTGTAAACCTAAACTGTAAATCTGTACTGTAAACCTAAACTGTAAATCTGTACTGTAAATCTGTACTGTAAATCTGTACTGTAAATCTGTACTGTAAATCTGTACTGTAAACCTAAACTGTAAATCTGTACTGTAAAACTGTACTGTAAAACTAAACTGTAAATCTAATCTGTAAATCTGTACTGTAAATCTGTACTGTAAACCTAAACTGTAAATCTGTACTGTAAACCTAAACTGTCAATCTGTACTGTAAACCTAAACTGTAAATCTGTACTGTAAACCTAAACTGTAAATCTGTACTGTAAACCTAAACTGTAAATCTGTACTGTAAACCTAAACTGTAAATCTGTACTGTAAAACTAAACTGTAAATCTGTACTGTAAATCTGTACTGTAAACCTAAACTGTAAATCTGTACTGTAAATCTGTACTGTAAATCTGTACTGTAAATCTGTACTGTAAATCTGTACTGTAAATCTGTACTGTAAATCTGTACTGTAAATCTGTACTGTAAATCTGTACTGTAAACCTAAACTGTAAATCTGTACTGTAAATCTGTACTGTAAACCTAAACTGTAAATCTGTACTGTAAATCTGTACTGTAAACCTAAACTGTAAATCTGTACTGTAAATCTCTACTGTAAACCTAAACTGTAAATACTGTACCTAAACTGTAAACTGTACTGTTAAACTGTAAATCTGTACTGTAAACCTAAACTGTAAATCTGTACTGTAAACCTAAACTGTAAATCTGTACTGTAAACCTAAACTGTCAAACTAAACTGTCAATCTGTACTGTAAATCTGTACTGTAAACCTAAACTGTCAATCTGTACTGTAAACCTAAACTGTAAATCTGTACTGTAAACCTAAACTGTAAATCTGTACTGTAAACCTAAACTAAACTGTAAACCTAAAAACTGTAAATCTGTACTGTAAACCTAAACTGTAAATCTGTACTGTAAACCTGTAAACTGTAAATCTGTACTGTAAACTGTAAAACTGTAAATCTGTACTGTAAACCTAAACTGTAAATCTGTACTGTAAACCTAAACTGTAAATCTGTACTGTAAACCTAAACTGTAAATCTGTACTGTAAATCTGTACTGTAAACCTAAACTGTAAATCTACTGTACTGTAAAAATCTGTACTGTAAACCTAAACTGTAAATCTGTACTGTAAACATAAACTGTAAACCTAAACTGTAAACCTAAACTGTAAACCTAAACTGTAAATCTGTACTGTAAACCTAAACTGTAAATCTGTACTGTAAACCTAAACTGTAAATCTGTACTGTAAACCTAAACTGTAAATCTGTACTGTAAACCTAAACTGTAAATCTGTACTGTAAACCTAAACTGTCAATCTGTACTGTAAACCTAAACTGTCAATCTGTACTGTAAACCTAAACTGTAAATCTGTACTGTAAATCTGTACTGTAAATCTGTACTGTAAACCTAAACTGTAAATCTGTACTGTAAACCTAAACTGTAAATCTGTACTGTAAACCTAAACTGTCAATCTGTACTGTAAACCTAAACTGTAAATCTGTACTGTAAACCTAAACTGTCAATCTGTACTGTCAATCTGTACTGTAAACCTAAACTGTAAATCTGTACTGTAAACCTAAACTGTAAATCTGTACTGTAAACCTAAACTGTAAATCTGTACTGTAAACCTAAACTGTAAATCTGTACTGTAAACCTAAACTGTAAATCTGTACTGTAAACCTAAACTGTCAATCTGTACTGTAAACCTAAACTGTAAATCTGTACTGTAAATCTGTACTGTAAACCTAAACTGTAAATCTGTACTGTAAACCTAAACTGTAAATCTGTACTGTAAACCTAAACTGTAAATCTGTAAACTGTAAATCTGTACTGTAAACCTAAACTGTAAATCTGTACTGTAACCTAAACTGTAAATCTGTACTGTAAACCTAAACTGTAAATCTGTACTGTAAACCTAAACTGTAAATCTGTACTGTAAACCTAAACTGTAAATCTGTACTGTAAACCTAAACTGTAAATCTGTACTGTAAACCTAAACTGTAAATCTGTACTGTAAACCTAAACTGTAAACCTAAACTGTAAATCTGTACTGTAAACCTAAACTGTCAATCTTTACTGTAAACCTAAACTGTAAATCTGTACTGTAAACCTAAACTGTAAATCTGTACTGTAAATCTGTACTGTAAATCTGTACTGTAAATCTGTACTGTAAACTGTAAATCTGTACTGTAAACCTACACTGTAATCTGTCTGTCAACCTAAACTGTAAATCTGTACTGTAAACCTAAACTGTAAATCTGTACTGTAAATCTGTACTGTAAACCTAAACTGTAAATCTGTACTGTAAATCTGTACTGTAAATCTGTACTGTAAATCTGTACTGTAAACCTAAACTGTAAATCTGTACTGTAAACCTAAACTGTAAATCTGTACTGTAAACCTAAACTGTAAATCTGTACTGTAAACCTAAACTGTAAATCTGTACTGTAAACCTAAACTGTAAATCTGTACTGTAAACCTAAACTGTAAATCTGTACTGTAAACCTAAACTGTAAATCTGTACTGTAAACCTAAACTGTAAATCTGTACTGTAAACCTAAACTGTAAAGCTGTACTGTAAACCTAAACTGTAAATCTGTACTGTAAACCTAAACTGTTAATCTGTACTGTAAACCTAAACTGTAAATCTGTACTGTAAACCTAAACTGTAAATCTGTACTGTAAACCTAAACTGTAAATCTGTACTGTAAACCTAAACTGTAAATCTGTACTGTAAATCTGTACTGTAAACCTAAACTGTAAATCTGTACTGTAAACCTAAACTGTAAATCTGTACTGTAAACCTAAACTGTAAATCTGTACTGTAAACCTAAACTGTAAATCTGTACTGTAAACTCTGTAAACTGTAAATCTAAACTGTAAATCTGTACTGTAAACCTAAACTGTAAATCTGTACTGTAAACCTAAACTGTAAATCTGTACTGTAAATCTGTACTGTAAACCTAAACTGTAAATCTGTACTGTAAACCTAAACTGTAAATCTGTACTGTAAACCTAAACTGTCAATCTGTACTGTAAACCTAAACTGTAAATCTGTACTGTAAACCTAAACTGTAAATCTGTACTGTAAATCTGTACTGTAAACTGTAAATCTGTACTGTAAACCTAAACTGTCAATCTGTACTGTAAACCTAAACTGTAAATCTGTACTGTAAACCTAAACTGTAAAGCTGTACTGTAAACCTAAACTGTAAATCTGTACTGTAAACCTAAACTGTAAATCTGTGCATTTTTCTTTCAAAGAGATAGATACTTTTTTTCTTTTTATATGCATTTAAATCAGTGCTAAACTGATGGCTTTCTGCCTATCATAAACATCAAAGAACACTTTTTTTCAAATCTAAACAGAATTTACAGCGCCATGTATAACACATGTCTATCAGTACACTTATGGTCTTGTGACTTACTTTTCTTTTTTTACAAGGGAACATCTTTCTTTCCACAATCGGTCGATGTCGGTCTTTACTCGATTTAAATCTCTTTTTGTCACTCCGAATATGGTACTGAAAACAAGTAAGATATGTGGATTATTCTGTAAGTAGCGTGATCATCAGCCGTTTGTGTATATATACTGTATATATTTATATATACAAGTAAGTATGGACGAAATTCATTGGAAATAGAATTAAAACTGATATCAATATGTGTGTAACTGATATTCGAGCATTAACTGTTTTATAGCTATTTCACTTACTGCGTTACACAGTTGGATATTTTTTTTCAAATTAAAATTTCTGTTCAGTTATATTATTATTTGAATAACATATACTGGAAAATTAGATTGTCAGATCCTGCCACAGCATATCGGATAGATTGTTGCGCCCTGCCTGAGCATATCGGATAGATTGACAAAGCTCTGCTAGAGCATATCCGATAGATTGTCAGATCCTGCCACAGCATATCCGAGAGATTGTTGCGCCCTGCCTGAGCATATCGGATAGATTGACAAAGCTCTGCTAGAGCATATCGGATAGATTGTCAGATCCTGCCACAGCATATCGGATAGATTGTCAACGCCCTTCCTCAGCATAACCGATATATTGACAAGCCCCTTCCTCAGCATAACCGTTACACTGCCAAGGCCCTTCCTCAGCATAACCGATATATTGCCAAGGCCCTTCCTCAGCATAACCGATATATTGACAAGCCCCTTCCTCCGCATAACCGATATATTGCCAAGGCCCTTCCTCCGCATAACCGATATATTGCCAAGGCCCTTCCTCAGCATAACCGATTTATTGCCAAGGCCCTTCCTCAGCATAACCGATATATTGACAAGCCCCTTCCTCAGCATAACCGATATATTGCCAAGGCCCTTCCTCAGCATAACCGATATATTGACAAGCCCCTTCCTCAGCATAACCGATATATTGCCAAGGCCCTTCCTCAGCATAACCGATATATTGTCAAGGCACTTCCCTCATCATTTGATAAATTGCCAAGGCACTTTCTCAGTATATCCGATAGATTGCCACGGTAACCTGCATTATTGTACGGTTAAAGAACTTTACTGTTATATAAGACAATCTAATTAAGTTTCTGTCCCATCAGAGAAATGTTTCTGTACAACATTGCGTTAAGTAGACAAAACAATTCCGTGTTTTACGGATATTCTGCAAGGTACTACATGAGACTACCAAACCTAAATCGTAGTACGGGTTTTCGGCGAGACTACCAAACCTAAATCGTAGTACGGGTTTTCGGCGAGACTACAAACCTAAATCGTAATACGGGTTTTCGGCGAGACTACCAAACCTAAATCGTAGTACGGGTTTTCGGCGAGACTACCAAACATAAATCGTAGTACGGGTTCATTGACGAACTTACCAAACCTTAATCGTAGTACGGGGTTTATCGGCGAACTTACCAAACCGAAGCCAAAGTACGAGTTTATCGGCGAGACTACCAAACTTGAATTATGAAACGATTACCGGACAGGAGTTTTAAGAACAAAAAAAAATAATTTTAAAGTAAATATAATTAAATGAAGTAGATTAGATTCTGCCAGACCAAAATTTTAAAATGGCTGCCCTTCATGATCTCATAAAACGGGGTTTTCCATTAACCTTATGACATACAGGTGGTACCGGATCTGTAAGTTTTCAATAGTACACCAGGTATAAGGCGACGCGATCAAGTTTGCTATCAATATAGTTCTGTTTACTCTCTTAACATTCCTATTAGTAACAAATTGAGTGTGGTCTGATAGATCCATTCTGAGTATTGAGGTAGTTTTGGTAATGGTCATCATTACAACGTGTTACCTTCTACTCCCTCTACTAGACGTGCTGGTCGGTCGTAAAGAGTCGTCACAGCTGGGAATATTTTTATTATCTGTCTGAAACACGGCATAATGGTAATCCGCCTCCATATTCTTCATTCACCATCGCTACACTTTACACTGATACCCAATCATTGCTACACTTTACACTGATACCCAATCATTGAGAAGCACGTGTGCATTACTTTATCAACAAAAATGCTCAGTTTATTCCCCAGAAAACAGCACATTAATCCAAAATCTATTATCCCACTAGAAGTTCCGGAATATTATGTCACCATTTTACTTGTCACTTTATATATTTTTTATATTTGACCTTAACCTTGTTAAGACCTACCTGTGTATGAAGCTTAATCATTAAGGCTATTGTAATATTGGCTTAAGGTGTGTGATACCAGAAACACTAATACGATTAACGTGGTATGTGTGTATGAAACGTCATTCCGAGAGCTTTACTGTACTGCAATTATACTAAACTAATAATGTCACTGTGTTAAAGAACTATTTTAAACGTAAAGCTATATTGTGTCGAATGCATCTTGAGGTATTTCATTACAAGTTGTTTGTTTCAAACAGAGTTTGTTATGTTTTGGCTGTTTATAGAGCGTTTGTTGTGTTTTTGTCTGTCCATAGACCGCTTATTATGGTTTTGATTGTTCCTAGAGTGTTTATTCTGTATACTATTATCTTTGTCTTTCGTCCTTTATACCATTGTCTTTGTCTTTCGTCCTTTATACCATTGTCTTTGTCTTTCGTCCTTTATACCATTGTCTTTGTCTTTCGTCCTTTCTTTGTCTTTCGTCCTTTATACTATTGTCTTTGTCTTTCGTCCTTTATACTATTATCTTTGTCTTTCGTCCGTTATACTATTATCTTTGTCTTTCGTCCTGTATACTATTATCTTTGTCTTTCGTCCTTTATACTATTATCTTTGTCTTTCGTCCTTTGTACTATTATCGTTATCTTTCGTCCTGTATGCTATTATCTTTGTCTTTTGTCCTTTATACTATTATCTTTGTCTTTTGTCCTTTATACCATTGTCTTTGTCTTTCGTCCTTTATACTATTATCTTTGTCTTTCGTCCTTTGTACTATCATCGTTATCTTTCGTCCTTTATACTATTATCTTTGTCTTTGTCCTTTTATATCATCGTTATCTGTCGTCCTTTATACTATTATCTTTGTCTTTCGTCCTTTGTACTATCATCGTTATCTTTCGTCCTTTATACTATTATCTTTGTCTTTCGTCCTTTGTACTATCATCGTTATCTGTCGTCCTGTATACTATTATCTTTGTCTTTTGTCCTGTATACTATTATCTTTGTCTTTCGTCCTTTGTACTATCATCGTTATCTTTCGTCCTGTATACTATCATCGTTATCTTCCGTCCTTTATACTATTATCTTTATTCATTTATATCATTATCTTTATCGCTGATTTGCGTATGAGAAGATGGTACTACAAAATATACAGCTATGATGAATGAGATTTAACATTATTTTACCTGAAAACAGTTACCTTTTCTGTCTGTGTTTCACCCACTCGTTCCTGTAACTCAGGCCGTCAGTCTTGATGGTCTTGAAATGGACCTTCTTGGTGACTGCACTTTCTTCCGGCATGATGTAGCTGTCAGCCCATCTTCAGTCATAATGCCAATTTATCGTTTGGTTTATAAGACTTTCAGAAATATTTAATTCAATAGATAGATCTTACATAGCATAAATATTAGTTTAATAATCGAATCATTTTTACTGTTGTATGTTCAGCTAATGAAAAGTTAAAAAATGAGAGCATGTTTAAGCACAACTGGTCGACGTCATGATATTGAATCGTAGAAAGAAAGTAAAACGCACCACACAAAGATGTTAGTTCCCAAATTGTTTCTGAATTAATAAGGCAACAGCCTACCAGAGAATGTAACGGAGGATTACAATGGGTGTATTTTGTAACTTAAGGTGATTGTCATATTCCAACAAATATTACATTTCTTACGTTAGCGTCGGCTTGATTTACCAGAAGGTGCAAATAGCGATAAAATCAAAATCTTATACAGGCTTAATTCATAATGTAGCATACACCCTTAAGACAATCGTTATTATTGGTAGAATCATCTCTCTTTTGTAGATATATCATCGTTTCCTGTTTATTATAATATTTCAAAAGGTAAAATTAATAACAGTTTTAACCAAACACGTCTGTGATATTGGTGAATTAATACGCAATTGAATTAATATGCAACATTATACAGGTATTTAGTAACATCAAATACCAGTTTGATTGTCAGTTATTGTAATGAATTAATGTTCACATATACACACCTATTTAAGTAATCAACAACAAAGGGTGTGACAAATAGAATTAGCAGGTTCTTGTCATTCTAAAATCACTCAAGCACAAAAAGTTTTAAAATCAAATCTAGTTACTTACTTTCTTTGGATTGAATTTCATTTTGTTTGAATAATTAAATCCAATTTAATCCATTCGTTGAATTTTAAAGGTCAGTACACGAACACACGCCGTGTTCCTGTCACTGTATCGGGTTGCTACGTGAGTTTCCTAGGCCGGATATATCAGGGGATTAAAAAAACCTCAGGTACTTATCAAATATAATCTTAATTCTTGATTTACAGACCACGTGGTGCACAATAAGCAGGAATTATTTATAGAAGGAACGGAAGGGATAAAATCACGCTTAAAGACAATAATAACATACGTATACCTACACTACGTTGTACATTAGAAATGTTAAAACTGCGTTTTATATTAATGTAACACTGAAGACAATAAGAACCTTTTTTATTTGTTTTACAACAGTCGTGACAACAATTGATAATCACTGTTGTTGTCCTCGAAACAATGTGAGGAAGCTGGAGTACCCGGATAGAACCCACGTGATTTGGTAGTTGACATCATGGCTATGTTATTTATCATCAATACCGAACGATCGATGTTTCGGCAAAATGTTGCCATACCTTATAACCTCGGAATAATGGGAAACATTTCCAGTTTAGGAAATATTATTGTTAAGCTTGGACAACTGTGTTTCATATAGATACGTGATGACAAAAAGAAGGGAGACTGTTTTATCCAGTCTGTCACTGTCAGGTACTCGCTTTCACCTGTCTGTCACTTTCAGGTACTCGATTTCACCCGTCTGTCACTGTCAGGTACTCGATTTCACCTGTCTGTCACTGTCAGGTACTCGATTTCACCTGTCTGTCACTTTCAGGTACTCGATTTCACCTGCCTGTTACTGTCAGGTACTCGATTTCACCTGTCTGTCACTGTCAGATACTCGATTTCACCTGTCTGTCACCGTCCTTGAGGAACCTACATCCATGCTACTATTGATATTTTTGATAGTGCGATTATTCATCCTGGTTCCATGCAAATCAAACTGTTGCCACAGTCCTCGAAGGACGAAACAGCTTGATGATGCACTTTTATTCATTGCTTGGCCTTGCTATGTCTCTAAAGTTGTATTGAAAGTTGTTATTCACAACTTCGGTAACCTCTATATAGCATACCTATATCCATCCGGTTGTTACAGAAAACTCCGAACAACCTGCATGATAAAGGTAGATATTCAATAAATAAGCTGTGTTCCGTGATATCCGTCGATCATTTTCCCATCCTACTAATACATTAAACGAAACAAAGCATATTGTGCCGCACGGGAAGATTGTTTTCTGTGTGCATTTAAATAGTGACACCCGTAAAGTCCCCGAAAGTGTCTTGTGGAAATATTTACATCAAGTTGGACGAGATCAGAAACTAGCCATTTACAGTGTAAATATTTACATCAAAGTGGACGAGATCAGAAACTAGTCAATCACCATAGCTACTTCACCATTTACAGTGTAAATATTTACATCAAGTTGGAGTAGATCAGAAAGTAGTCAATCACCATAGCTACCTCACCATTTACAGTGTAAATATTTACATCAAGTTGGACGAGATCAGAAACAAGTCAATCACCATAGCTACCTCACCATTTACAGTGTAAATATTTACATCATACAAACTTTGTTCGTTTTTAATAAAATGTAGAGTGTACAATGACTCTAGAATGATTAGATACAGTAATGTCAACTAATTAATCAACTAATATCACACAAATAATGGTATCCTAATTGTGTTCATAGCTACAATAATCTCCTCTGACAGTTTTTACTTTATGGTCTACACATTAAGCTTACATTGTTCCTACATCTATCGATGATATCCTCTACATTCTCCTTGTCTTGAAGAGCTCACTTCATCAATGACTTGCTCCAAAGTTGCGAAAACCAGATTTATCTGTGTAGCAATGACAGTAAGAAGCTAATTCCAGATCAGCTTGTGAAGAAAATGAGAAGCGATTAGTGTTTTATTCTATAATAACGCTGAAAGGATCGTTTACTTTGCCTGTTTAGGGCGTATCATCATTTTCGACGCTTTTAGAGCAGCAAATGTTTGTCCGCTTTCAAATTGGTACCACGACATTGCGCCGCTGTCCGGAGTTGTTGAAGGTCTGTACGGGCCGTTGAGGTTAGACCTATGGCAGTGTTTATACCACCATCCACCTTGATTGTTAACAGCAAAGTTAGAAACTGTCTCGTCATTATCCTGATCGTGGGTGCTAAACGGCTTATCCCAGTGAATAGATAATCCATTATAAAACAGATCCTGAAAACCCTGAAGCGGTCAGAGCATATTTGTCACCTTCAGATGCAATGGAAAACTGTGTGTAGGCTGCATATCTAGACACTCCTGTAGCATCCTCCATCTTTATGCGAAGTTCGTACGAATCTGATGAGGTTATTTGGTACAGATTTTCGTTCCCAATCCAATATTCGCCATAAGCAGAACCAAATCCCTGCTTGTATTCTTCCCACGTGTTATAAAATTCTTGACTACCATCAAATCTATTCTGTATGATTGTCCATCCACCACCCAATGTGTCCCTATCACAAAGCACAGAGGTCTAGGTCATTGCTGGTGACGGAATACACACCAGTAGGACTTCCCGCCGGTAGAAAGTGACACATCCCAATATCTTCAGAAATGTACAGGTTTTCGTGTGAGTTACTGTTTGGCTGCATCTACCACAAAAGCGTCACAGTTCGTCTGGTGACACATCAGGGCGCATAACATTCTCTCTGTTACAGTTGGGACCTCAGATGGTGCGAGGATATAACTACTATTTGTTTGAGCATTACATAATGTACCACTGCTTCCAAATGACAGCTTTAAAAGTACCAGAAGATCTATCATCTGACGGAGAATGAAAGCATTCATTTTTATCTTAAGTTCCTGTAACTCGAACTACTACAGAAAAGTTGTTTTATGTTACAGACATTAGGACCAATCATCGTGAACTTGCCTAATAAGTACGCTGGTATAGACACAACGCCTCCACGGAAACAATGTGAGCCTGTGAGCCAATGGAACTGCTCCCTTTCCAGTACAAGGACAACCTTTCGCCCCTAGAGGTAGACAATGCTCTCTAAGTTTTCCGAATTATTTACAAAATCAGATCAATAAACTGTCACGGTGAGAAAATTACATGTCATTTTTTCTTTTGAATTTCCACCTTTTTCGTCCCACAGGTTCGCGACATGTCTGAAAATTCCTCAAAAGGTGTAAGTGGTTGGAGAGTAAAGGTTTATATAAAATGTGTGATATTACAGATGTATCGGGAGTATAGTTACCTGTGTGTACAATGACGGGATAACGTTGAGATGTTCACGGGGTTACTGGTCGTTTGTGTAGCAAGGCTACACAGTGATCATTTCATAGTTATTAGATGTCGTTTTATTTTTTATTCTACTAAAGTAATATCACTAAAATGGTTAGGTGATCAATATTTAGACAACCAGCCACCCTCCATTATCCCATTCCCCCTAAATTTATAGATACTGAAGATATTGATGTCATTACACCTATATATAAGGTGATATCTTCGCCCCTTACCCCCAGCCCCAGATACTGAAGTTATTGATGTTATTACACCTATACAATGAGGGGGTATTTCGCCCCCCCCCCCAGGTCCAGGTATTCTCGCCACACTGTCCCAGCCAATACAATTGGTTTAGGTGTTTTTCATCATTGATATCCATTGACATATTGGCTGTATAAAACATTATAAAGAGGAAACGTTTTGCAACAGAGTATTCATAGAAGTTTACAGTGTGAACAAACGTAGACCATTGTATCAAAGTTTGAACACTTAACAATAGGATGGAGATCGAATTTATACATCTCTTTTATTTATTACTTCTGACACACAATAAAAAAATGTCTTTAGCATATCAATGCAATGTGTGTGTTTTTACGGATGTGGTCATGCTAACTTTCTCTACAGGTACATTTGATGGTAAGACTCTATTTGGATTGGGTAAACAATGGGTTATTTATTCAAGATATGAAAGTTATGGTAAACTTAATTTTCAGATCTTTTTATCACTTTGGTTGTGGCTTATCCACCCAAGTTTTCTTGCTGAGTCAGCGTTTGTTTGGTTATATCTATTTGTAAATAATACAATTTGATATCACGAACCAACGGCTCTTAGATAAAATCACGTCTAACATAGAGCCTTACATATGACAAGTCGAGTCTTTGTTCATGGAACAATATAAGCGTATGCTGTTATACTTATATATATGTTAACTGTATAAGTCTATAGTTTACTCATATCATCTCTCTCTCTCTCTCTCTCTTTCTCTCTCTCTCTCTCACTAGACCCTTTCCCTCATTTCCGCCTCGCCTTCCGTTTTTCAGTCATTCTTTCATCGTTTTCTGCCTTCTCCTATTTACTCCATCCCTTCTAGATTGGATTGCTACGTTCCATCCATTTAATTACTGAAGGAAGGTGGGGGGCATTTTTGTTTAATAAAAAAATAAATTATATCAATCTCCATCTTTGCTAGAAAAACGTCACTCATAATAACGATATCCTCATAAGACTTTCTCCTCGACATTTGCCATTGAAAACCGTCTAACAAATCACAATAAAAAGGATTCCCGTGATAAGGAGATTCTGTTCTTGGACATTATGTTAACGATCTGCCAGACCTTATCTCCAACCCATCGTGGTCAGTATAAACAGGGAGGGCAAATTTAAGATAGAGGCAAAAAATGGTTGTACTTAGATAGAAATATTACATAATCATCAGTGGACAAAGTGACCATTAGGTCAACTCGTGTATAATGATACAAGGGCGAAAACCCCGGTATACACAGTAATACATCGGAAATTGAAATGGTACAGAGAGTCTTTCAATCAAGAGGTTCCGCTGTCGGGGCAAGATGGCAGGCCGGACGATTTTCACGGAACATATGCAGACAACAAGGCGTTCAGTATGATACTGTCTTCCTTACATTTGGAAAAAAAATCTTATTTTGTTCACGCTAGCTAAAAGGTTGAAAAAGTCTAACTCGTCACTCAGGTTTGTGTAGTATCTTTTACCGGAAGGAGAAGACCGCTTCAATGCTGTGGCAATGATGTTCGTCATAAAGACAATGATCTTGCTTTAAAACAACTCACCGATATGCATGCTCGGGATCTACCGTCACAGAAGTCGAATGACGTTTGTCAATCCATAGTCCGAGAACTAAGGGACGTAACTCCTATAGCTTTTTCCATTCGTCCGTTTGTAACATAGAGTAAATCTGTGACTACTGATCAACGTTAAAAGACTATACATGTACATTTCATTCAAACACTGCTGAGATGTCCTCTTTAATCTGGTTGGCGACAGATTCAAACTAATTACATGTATTATACTTCTGTTAAGACCACAGCGACTTGATACTTACCACCTTACTTTGGGATAAAATGAATGTTTTTTCTTGTTTTGTTTACAAATTCGTTCAAAACAAACGTTACCAACATATTTGTCATATCATTATTAGGACAGTAACAGGGGAGTAGCAAAAGATTAATACAGTACAGTTTTTCAAAGAGAATTTTGATTTCGATAATGGTACAATACTTTTGTTATTATATAAACAATACTTATAGAAAATGACCCTCCCCACTCCCCCTCCCCTCCCCTTTCCGACTTCCTTGGAAAAGAGAGTCTAGAATAGCCAGGACATTCAAGCGTATCATTCTCTGTAATGCAACCTTCACTTTGCCGATGTTCCAAACTGTGTCCTATCCGGGCATCGAATTCACGATCTACGGCGCCAATTCGCCTAACTTAAACCCTCCACAAATAACTACACAATCCTGACATCCTCCAAAATGATGTTTGACAGTTGCAGTGATAGGTAGTGGCGAATTGTCGATTATGTGATATAAAAACCTGGATCGCCATGTTTATAATACATAGATACGAAATGTACATATGGTATGTACAATGCATCATGTATGTATGTTGATGCGAAGGTTTTAAATTATAATTTCCTGTCGAAATTGTATCCGGGTTTAGTATGTATTCAATACGTTTTGTATTTCAAGGTTTATGAAACTAAATCTGCCGATGAGTCACTATTTCATAAGAAGATAGGTACTTTATATAAATTTAGATTTCATAAAACATTGTATCTCCAGACAGTTCTATGTTGTGACATTCATTATATTGCTCATGCCTTAAATACCATCAATAAGATAATAAAAATTGGTAAAAGTACTCTAGGTATGTTGTAACAGATCGAGCTATTCCTCGATTGTTCGTTATTTTTTCAAATTCCCGGAACAAACAAAAAAAAACTCGTTCTGTGTTAAAACGAAAGTATTTAAATAATATATATTTTCACTTACGGACTCTTGTGGAGAACTTCTGAATATGAAACAATAAAAGCAAAATTTGAACAAATGATCTCAAAAGTTCAGTTCGAGAATTCCCCTGTATAACCGGCGTGTTATTACTGTTTTGCAACCTAATTTTGGAAGCCGTACACCGATCTAAAGTTGCCTCCCTTGACATCAACTGTCGGCCATATGTTATCTTACATAAACAAGAGCACATGCACAACAGTTGATTAAGTGACGAAGGACATGGATTCGGTATTCCGTAGGTAAGTTCATTAACGGCAATGAAAACCTATCAAATTATCGAAATATATGTACTGTATGCTTCAATACTTTCCATATAATTTTTCTTCTCGCCACGGCACCTGGCAAGGATTTATCTGCAGACGCAAACCCATCCTACTAATAATATCAGTTAGAGTCGTATATGTATTGAAGTCTCTGTGCATAGTCAAGTGACAATAGCGACATAGACCCATGCCAGAGAGCAGGAGAAGGGGAGATCTTATTTTTAATTGATTTCTGTGTCCGGGTATAGAGAATAACTGCACAATAATTACCACTGAATCGTCTGTTACGAAATTTAGTGACATAAACTAGGACGAAATCAACAGACCGTAGAAATATACACAGTATAGTAACCAGTAGGTCTGTGCATGTCACAAAGGTTGTGAAGGTCACCAGCCTATAGTTATATCTTTAGAATGGCTAAGTACATGTACACTTAAGAAATATATTAAGAAAAAAGCAAAGTCTAAAACAGCATAAAATAATGGTACATAATTTTGCACCATATGTGAATTCGCACACTTGGTGTTTTTTTCATCTGTTTCAATCAACTAGCCGCATATTGTGCTTTTTATGCTCTTTGCCTTATTATGCCAGATTTCAGTGGTACTTTTGCTGTTCTGAATATTTCCAATTAAGCCCGTTTTGAAACAATATGACATATAATGACTCTCATCAAAGAAAATGGACGTAAGGTAATTAAATAATTACAGAGACCAATTAGATCATGCAGTTACAAATATTCAGTGAACATGTTGTTTCATCAGAATATAATTGAAATTGTTCTTAAAATTGAGGAAATAGAGAACTGACAGCAAGGCCCCCATGACCTGTTGTCTGCTCATTTACATTTACTTTTGCAGGTAGCAGTCATTATTAATGAATGCAGGTGAAATATATAGGCTTTTTAACATTTTTAAGCATTGTTTTGTGCTCTATCTAAGTGTAACCAACAGAAAAAACAGTCTGCTTCAGTCTTCAGTTCGATTTTTCTTTAATTTTAACTACACATGAAAGGCATTCATCCTAAGTAAGGTAGACAAGACATAATAGCATAATTCTTTTTCACTTTACAATAAATCTCACTGAGATGAACACCATCTGCTGTCAGATCTGGAACTTCCAGATCGATCACAAAGAAATTGATTTGAACTGATTGCTGAAATTTGATTGGTCGATGCAGTCCGTTGTATTCCGTGAATAAACTTTAAATCTTTTATCTAAATTACATACCCATTGTTACATATACTGAGCCTATCCATAGAATATAATACGATTATAACAATAATAATTAATATCATTGATGTACATGTAGTGTTAACCTACATTTTACATTTGTATCACATGGCTGTCATGTGACATAGACAATATATATATATAGCATTATATTGATAAAACATTACAGAATGAATATCAAAAAGGAAATACAAATGATGTTCAATTCACTATGTTAGATCAGTTTAATATTTATTTTTTATACTAGATCTTTGAAAACTTTGCATAACTACAAAAATATGGAGGCTAGGTGAGTTTGCGAAATTATTTTCCCGTTCGTCATCAAACCAGGAAGTAAAACACCTGTTAATAACAATGCCTATGTGCAGTAATGTGTGCGCATAACAGATTGCATACTTATATATTATGGAACATTTGTGCATCTAACCATGGAGGAAATATTTATCGTTTTAAAAGAAATATATCAGAAAAAAAATCAAACACACACCAAAAGTGTCACTCAAGCTTTAGAAATTACAGAAACAGAATTAGAATGAAAAAAGACTTTTTATCTGCATTAATGTACATTGTCGTCTCCTGTTAAGATTTATGCCAAATGGATCTTCTGATCCAGAATTTCAAATATAACATCTGCCAACTTTGTTTGAGCAGCCATGAAATATTACTTAAATGATTTACATTTTGTTGTTTTGGTGTCTGATTTTATAAAATGTAAATCTTTCATCATGATGATCAAAGAACTATGTACAGAAACTCATAAATTTGTCACATAAATTTCATTTTACAAAGTAAATGGTGAACAAGATTGGTGATGTGAATAGCATCCTTAATCTTTAAATCCCATGATTCAGAAAAATATTGTCCTACATTATACATTAAGAGTAGTGTCACTGACTGACAGATATTGTTGTAAATGTGATACAAAAGAAAATATCCATATTACCACGGCTTTTGAAAAAAATAAAAACTGCATTTTAGGAATTTTACACTTTTTGGGCAGAGGGTAACAGTTGGCTACTGTAAGGCAAAGTAGAGAAACACAACGGCTTTCAGAGTTGTTTATTGGTTCTGTATAAATATTGTGTACAACAGATGTTTTTTAACTATATATATATAACCAAGGACTAAAACATTTAGATTGTGTTTATTTCAAGAAAATATTGGATAGTGAAAATCATTGTCCACAACATGGTGTCAGAGGTCAAATAGTCAGTCATTGTCCACAACATGGTGTAACAAGTCAGGTGGTCAGTCATTGTCCACCACATGGTGTTAGAGGTCAAATAGTCAGTCATTGTCCACAACATGGTGTCACGGGTCAAATAGTCAGTCATTGTCCACAACATGGTGTCACAGGTCAAGTGATCATTGTCCACAACATGGTGTCACAGGTCAAGTGGTCAGTCATTGTCCACCACATGGTGTCACAGGTCAAATAGTCAGTCATTGTCCACAACATGGTGTCACAGGTCAAGTGGTCAGTCATTGTCCACAACATGGTGTCACAAGTCAAGTGGTCAGTCATTGTCCACAACATGGTGTCGCAGGTCAAATAGTCAGTCATTGTCCACAACATGGTGTCACATGTCAAGTGGTCAGTCATTGTCCACAACATGGTGTCACAGGTCAAGTGGTCAGTCATTGTCCACAACATGTATAATACCACAAAATTAAAGTAAACAATGCTTACACGAATGAACATGAATATGATCACGTCTTCGTCGCTATCGTCAGAGTTACTCTGTTTGTCAACAGGTATGCTCTGTGAATGAGTGATCTTCTTTATTCTCTGAAGGGGTCAAGGCTGTGGTATAGGTTTGTCATTGACAGTATCCGGTAGATTTCTGGAGTAGACAGAAGACAAATGTCCTATAGGAAGACAAATGTTCCGATGTAGTGTTCTTTTCCCCTTGCCAGTCATTGTCCACAACATGGTGTCAGAGGTCAAATAGTCAGTCATTGTGCACCACATGGTGTCACAGGTCAAGTGGTCAGTCATTGTCGACAACATGGTGTTAAAGTCAAATAGTCAGTCATTGTCCACAACATGGTGTCACAGGTCAAGTGGTCAGTCATTGGCCACAACATGGTGTCACGGGTCAAATAGTCAGTCATTGTCCACAACATGGTGTCACAGGTCAAGTGATCAGTCATTGTACACAACATGGTGTCACAGGTCAAGTGGTCAGTCATTGTCCACCACATGGTGTCACAGGTCAAATAGTCAGTCATTGTCCACAACATTGTGTCACAGGTCAAGTGGTCGGTCATTGTCCACAACATGGTGTCACAGGTCAAGTGGTCAGTCATTGTCCACAACATGGTGTCACATGTCATGTGGTCAGTCATTGTCCACAACATGGTGTCACAGGTCAAGTGGTCAGTCATTGTCCACAACATGGTGTCACAAGTCAAGTGGTCAGTCATTGTCCACAACATGGTGTCACAGGTCAAATAGTCAGTCATTGTCCACAACATGGTGTCACAGGTCAAGTGGTCAGTCATTGTCCACAACATGGTGTCACAGGTCAAGTGGTCAGTCATTGTCCACAACATGGTGTCACAGGTCAAGTGGTCAGTCATTGTCCACAACATGGTGTCACAAGTCAAGTGGTCAGTCATTGTCCACAACATTGTGTCACAGGTCAAGTGGTCGGTCATTGTCCACAACATGTATAATACCACAAAATTAAAGTAAACAATGCTTACACGAATGAACATGAATATGATCACGTCTTCGTCGCTATCGTCAGAGTTACTCTGTCGTCAACAGGTATGCTCTGTGAATGAGTGATCTTCTTTACTCTCTGAAGGGGTCAAGGCGGTGGTATAGGTTTGTCATTGACAGTATCCGGTAGATTTCTGGAGTAGACAGAAGACAAATGTCCTATAGGAAGACAAATGTTCCGATGTAGTGTTCTTTTCCCCTTGCCAGTCTTTTTCTGTACAACAAATTACAGATGCGTTCATGTTAGGCTGATCCAGCACTTTATACACATTGTCCTTCTTATTATCAGACAATATGTGACCTTTTTGACCTTTTAACTAATACGTAGTAGTGTGGAATTTGACTTATGATCCTTGGTGACCTGTATATTGACCTTTGACATTATGAATACTTTACACTATCACTTACCTGCCTGCAGATTAAGCCTAGTATTGAACATATTTTGATCAGTGTTAACAAAACATTTGGTGGCCTATATATTGACCTTCTTCATTTTTATTTTGGTATGACATTCAATGATATAAACAAAACAAAAAAATTACAACATCATAAGATATCTAAATATCTTAGAATGAACTTGGGGCCAAAAGTAATATTACACCACCAAATTAAAACGTCGTCTGGGGCCAAAAGCAATATTACACCACCAAATTAAAACGTCGTCTGGGGCCAAAAGCAATATTACACCACCAAATCAGACCGTTGTCTGGGGCCAAAAGCTATATTACACCACCAAATCAAAACGTCATCTGCTTGTGTCTGACCTGCTGTTAAAGGATGGATTTCAATTTTGGTGGTGTCTTTGGCTTTGATGGCAAAAACGATTTTTCTGAATATTGAATTAGATGAGAATCTAGCAAACATAAGGGACACCTTATCTGTTATATCCACTTGGAATGTGAGATTCCCTTTCATTTGGGAATTTTGAATGACTGAAACTGGCATAAATTAGCTGTCAGTGATGTCATGTCACGCAAGCTGTTGTGCATAGTGATTTGTTATAAAATTGTCTTTCATTAAATGATCAAATTGATGCATTCATTTTTAATTTTTGTTTTTGAAACATATCCATGAAATTAGTTATAAGCTTTATATTATAAGTTAGTTATGACAAGGTGCTATTCACTTGCGTGTCTTTTGTACAATCTTGATAGATTTTTTATTTTCAAGCTGATATGAAAGAAAAATGTTTTAGCAAATTGAATGAATGTACATATAAGGTCACTTAAGAGACAATCTTTCATTGATAGCTTCCATGGGTATTGGGTATCATGTGATATTAGTCAATGAAAGACGTAAAGATTATCAATTATTTATAATTATGTTTGTACTGTTTTATTTGATAATTAATATATATGTTCTTCAGCTACCAAATTATTGTTTAACATTTGAATTGGAAACGGTCTTTCATTTGAAAATGCTATTTTCATACTACTGCAAATTATCAAAATAAATTAGAGTGTTCGGAAATTCGTTTTTTTTTAGTAATAGTATATACAACACGTAGTGTTTATGTACATAAGATAAATAGAGCAGATGTGATGCCTTTATTGGTGCACTCTATCTGTAAACAAATAGACTTCATTAGATTAGACTGATACATGGAAGATTTCAGGTCTATTATTAAAATTGTGTGAGATAAACTTATAAATAAACACGCGACCACAAACGTGAATCTCTAAGTGTTATGGCTGAGTGAATTTGACCATATATAGTATGTGCATATCATGATTGTGTGATACCTGGAAATTCATCTAGTGTTACGTTGTAATAGAGGAATTAATTGTAGACATGTGCATTAGGCTATGATGAAATTATACATATCCAGATGCAGTTTTTGTCCACGAAGTTTCATTATGGGCACATCTTATTGAACCAGGAGATGAAAAGGCCTTCTGAGAGCAAATCTTTCTTTACCACTTGATATCGGTACTTGTCTCTTAGCAAACTCCAGAATCACACTTGTTACATCAAGTCAAGCATTATAAGATGATATTTAAGTGGTTTTATTTTTAGGTAAAGTACTGCTATGCCAGTGGAACATCATCACTTGTGCCAGGTTACAATCACCATGCCCAGTAATTATTAACCAAGATGTGAAGTACATAATAAAACAGACTCCAGTCAGTGTGGATAGAATTCAACACATGAATGTTTAACTAAACTTGTAAGTATTTTGACAGAGGTATTGCATAACTTGTATCAGTGGTTCATAACTTGTATCAGTGGTTCTGAAAATATTATCAATGAAATTTCGTTAAATTAAAATGAAATACACTGTTAGTTAAATGCTATAGGAAATGTATTGGTACCAAGATTATATAAAAGTGAACAGGTTATTGTCATGAAACTTTTAATCGATATGGAATCAAATATCTAGATAGGAACTTGTTATCAAGTATCTAGATAGCAACTTGGACCTAAGTATCTAGATAGCAACTTGGAATCAAGTATCTAGATAGCAACTTGTAATCAAGTATCTAGATAGCAACTTGTAATCAAGTATCTAGATAGCAACTTGGAATCAAGTATCTAGAAAGCAACTTGTAATCAAGTATCTAGATAGCATCTTGTTATCAAGTATCTAGGTATCTAGATAGCATCATGTAATCAAGTATCTAGATAGCAACTTGGAATCAAGTATCTAGATAGCAACTTGGAATCAAATATCTAGATAGCAACTTGTTATCAAGTATCTAGATAGCAACTTGGAATCAAGTATCTAGATAGCAACTTGGAATCAAGTATCTAGATAGCAAATTGTAATCAAATATCTAGATAGGAACTTGTTATCAAGTATCTAGATAGCAACTTGGACCTAAGTATCTAGATAGCAACTTGGAATCAAGTATCTAGATAGCATCTTGTAATCAAGTATCTAGATAGCAACTTGGACCTTAGTATCTAGATAGCAACTTGTAATCAAGTATCTAGATAGCAACTTGTAATCAGGTATCTAGATAGCATCTTGGAATCAAGTATCTAGGTATCTAGATAGCATCATGTAATCAAGTATCTAGATAGCAACTTGGAATCAGGTATCTAGATAGCATCTTGGAATCAAGTATATAGATAGCAACTTGTAATCAAGTATCTAGATAGCAACTTGGAATCAAGTATCTAGATAGCAACTTGTTATCAAGTATCTAGATAGCAACTTGTAATCAGGTATCTAGATAGCAACTTGGAATCAAGTATCTAGATAGCAACTTGTAATCAAGTATCTAGATAGCAACTTGGAATCAAGTATCTAGATAGCAACTTGTAATCAAGTATCTAGATAGCAACTTGGACCTAAGTATCTAGATAGCAACTTGGAATCAAGTATCTAGATAGCAACTTGGAATCAAATATCTAGATAGCAACTTGTTATCAAGTATCTAGATAGCAACTTGGAATCAAGTATCTAGATAGCAAATTGTAATCAAATATCTAGATAGGAACTTGGAATCAAGTATCTAGATAGCAAATTGTAATCAAATATCTAGATAGGAACTTGTTATCAAGTATCTAGATAGCAACTTGGACCTAAGTATCTAGATAGCAACTTGGAATCAAGTATCTAGATAGCATCTTGTAATCAAGTATCTAGATAGCAACTTGGACCTTAGTATCTAGATAGCAACTTGTAATCAAGTATCTAGATAGCAACTTGTAATCAGGTATCTAGATAGCAACTTGTAATCAAGTATCTAGATAGCAACTTGTAATCAGGTATCTAGATAGCATCTTGGAATCAAGTATATAGATAGCAACTTGGACCTAAGTATCTAGATAGCAACTTGGAATCAAGTATCTAGATAGCAACTTGGAATCAAATATCTAGATAGCAACTTGTTATCAAGTATCTAGATAGCAACTTGTTCTCAAGTGTCTAGATAGCATCTTGTAATCAAATATCTAGATAGCAACTTGGAATCAAATATCTAGATAGCAACTTGTAATCAAGTATCTAGATAGCAACTTGGAATCAAGTATCTAGATAGCAACTTGTAATCAAGTATCTAGATAGCAACTTGGACCTAAGTATCTAGATAGCAACTTGGAATCAAGTATCTAGATAGCAACTTGTAATCAAGTATCTAGATAGCAACTTGGAATCAAGTATCTAGATAGCAACTTGGAATCAAGTATCTAGATAGCAAATTGTAATCAAATATCTAGATAGGAACTTGTTATCAAGTATCTAGATAGCAACTTGGACCTAAGTATCTAGATAGCAACTTGGAATCAAGTATCTAGATAGCATCTTGTAATCAAGTATCTAGATAGCAACTTGGACCTTAGTATCTAGATAGCAACTTGTAATCAAGTATCTAGATAGCAACTTGTAATCAGGTATCTAGATAGCAACTTGTAATCAAGTATCTAGATAGCAACTTGTTATCAAGTATCTAGATAGCAACTTGGAATCAAGATACAGAAAGGGTTTATATACCATTTGATGAATGATCGATAAAATGATGAATGATCAAGGTAGCCAGACTGAACATGTCTAACTTATCAAACATGTAAAATTGATATAACATTGAGACCGTTTATACGTGGTTACTTTACATATTCGCCTATGGCAACATGTATTTTTGCCATGTAAATATGTAATCTGTATAGCCTTAGGGCATAATGATGATAAGGTTTTGCATGTAACTCATATTCATATTTAGCTAAATACAAAATATGAGATATTACTTATATAATAATTTTTTGTATTTACTATAGAAATGTTGTATTATGGTTGAAATTTTCTGTTGGTTTTTTGACAGACAATCAGAGTGCCTGATGTACTCCTAGAGGATGATGGTGATCTCTGGATGATTACATAAGAGATAGAAGATGATGGTGGACAGGAATGTGACCCCACCCCCTAGTGCCCCGATGGAGGGCAATGTGTCCATTGACAACCTGTACCCTGCCATTATCCAGTGTTTCTTCATCATCCTGGCAGGTTATATTGCTGGACGTGTCAGCCTCATCTCAGCGTCCCAGAGTCGAGGGATTGGGCTGTTTGTGTCGAACTTCTGCCTTCCATGTCTTCTCTTTAAGAACATGTGTATTCTGGATTTCAGTGTGGTGAACTGGATGTTTTTGATCGGTATCTTGATATCAAAATCTATTGTATTTTTTTCGGTAGTGTTATTGACACTGCTTGCTAAGCGACCTCTGAACTATGGTTATGCAGGCATGTTTGGAATATTTGCTACACAAAGTAATGACTTTGCTCTTGGTTACCCTATCAGTAAGTATTATGTGTTGGAATTATTATGTTTTAAGTGCATGACAAAGATCAAACCAACTTTGATAGTTAACCTTATTAACATATTCATGATGTTAACCTAATTAACATATTCATAATGTTAATTTATTTAACATATTCACCATGTTTACCTAATTGACATATTAGCAATGTTAACCTGATTAAACATTTTCTGTCAGTGTTGAACATGGGTAATTCAGGTGAGGATGAGAGGTGTGTAGTTCCATGATCTTTGCTGGTGTTTGTTTTTCTGACCAACTTAGTTGTGCTGTAGTGGTTGTGTTCTTGTACAAGTCACTTTAACCTGACTGCTTTGGATAGCTTATAATGGACCTCTTGTATGTTGTTCTGTGAGATAGCCACCAGCTACTACAATCAGACTGTCTCAGACAGACTCCAGCTGTTGACTAGGCAATAATCTCAGCAAATAAACAAATGTTTCAAAACCCAGCCAAATCATCGTAGGTCATTTCACATAGAATTTCCTACACTATATTTTACCTTCATATACAAAGGATTATGTTGTAGACAAAAAGTCTTTTAGATTTGACTTCTGTCCTTCACTGTACACCTCTGTGAACATCCATTGGTCATTTGTCAGATGAAGGTGTGACAGTAGATCACTCTAACATCACATACTCATTTTCTGTTTGTAATATATAAAATCTATTCACACATGCATATGTTTGTCATTACAGTTCAAGCCCTGTACGAGACGTCCCACCCAGAATACCTGAAGTACATTTATTTAATAGCCCCAATCTCTGTGGTGTTCTTGAATCCTATAGGATTTATTTTATTGGAGATACAAAAACGACGGACACAGACATTGAAAGATTCATCAGGAAGTCATTCCCAAGGAACGGATAGTGACTTGTTGCTAGGCAGTGGTTCATCCACCCAAAAGAAGATGGAGATGACCCCTCACACAAGTACAGTAATGGTGGCAGTGCATGTGTTTAAGGGGGTCATCTCAAATCCAATCGTCTTTATGACCATCATTGGGATTATTGGCAACTTTGTTTTCAAACATGACCTCCCTGCTGTCTTGGATGGCATTCTAACTTCACTTGGTGAGTGTGCATATTGATGTTATAAATAATGACCTTACAAGGTGAACCGTCAGGTTTCAGTAACTGATTGGCTCAATGTTTTTCTGTTGATATTTTTCTTGTAATTGGATGTACTATAGAAGCTCACTTACATGGTTCAAATGGAAAAAGGTCTGTCATCATGTCATCCCTCCAACAGCATGAATCTTAACAAATCCTTTGTAAAATCATTTCCAACATAATGACGATCAGTGGTAAGTAATCTCAGTTAGATAGTGGAGAGCAGCTATAGTAATTAATCTCAGGTAAATATTAGTGAGAGTGTGTGAGGAAGCCTAGACCATAGAACATCCTGTACTGTCGTGGTTGTGTCCTAAATTTAGTTTTTTCTATGTACATTTCAGAATGAGCTGTAAATGGCTGAGCTTTTTAATCTAGTAGCATACAATTAACTGTCAATATCCTGCATATCTTATAGAACAAAGTCGGTAATAACTGGAACGATAACAAATGTTAATTACTCAACCTAAATTCTATCTGTTATTACATATTACAGGACATTGGTTTGCAATAAAAGTCATATGGGCCTTTTGTTTTACTTTGTACTTAATGATCTTGTAAACATCACAACCCTGTGGGCCTTTTGTTTTACTTTGTACTTAAATGATCTTGTAAACAACACAAGCCCTGTGGGCCTTTTGTTTTACTTTGTACTTAATGATCTTGTAAACATCACAAGCCCTGTGGGCCTTTTGTTTTAGTATGTACTTTAATGATCTTGTAAACATCACAAGCCCTGTGGGCCTTTTGTTTTACTTTGTACTTAATGATCTTGTAAACATCACAAGCCCTGTGGGCCTCTTGTTTTAGTATGTACTTTAATGATCTTGTAAACAACACAAGCCCTGTGGGCCTCTTGTTTTAGTATGTACTTTAATGATCTTGTAAACAACACAAGCCCTCTTGTTTTAGTATGTACTTTAATGATCTTGTAAACATCACAAGCCCTGTGGGCCTCTTGTTTTAGTAATGTACTTTAATGATCTTGTAAACATCACAAGCCCTGTGGGCCTCTTGTTTTATTACTTGTTGCTGATGCCTGTGTTTATATCCCTGTTTTGTGTAGGTAATGCCTTCAGTGCTACAGCATTGTTCTATCTGGGCCTGAGTTTGGTTGGCAAGGTGTCAGGAACAATGGGTATAGGACTCTTAGTACCACTGCTTCTTATAGCTGCAAAGGCGTAAGTGAAATGAAATTTTCTTGAAATGAATGACTTTATCTAATTTAAATGTAAACTTGAGGTTACACAGAAAGAAATATGCATTTATCAATATTTTGTTAATAGTAGAATTTGATAAATATTCATAATATTAGTATACATAGCAGGATTCCTGAATGTAATGTTATAGATAATCACTCTCATGACAACATTTCTTAATGAAAAGGTTTCACTTCAACTAAAATTCAACTAGATCTTGGACGAGTTCATATTTCAAGGTTAGAAGGTCAAGGTATCTTGTACTATTTTTCAGGCTGGTGTTGCCATTGGTGATATGGCAGATTGTTGGTGCTATGGATCAAATCTCTACATCAGCAGATGTTAATGTTAACAGTACCATATCCCTAAGCATGTATGGCTTTCTGTATGGTACATTTCCAACTGCACCCTCTGTGTTTCTGTATGCCAGTCAGTATGCAGTTGCCCAGGATACGGTGAGTTAGTAGGTTCTGGTAGTTAGCAACTTATCAGGGTTACACTGAGTGAATTCTTACAGCTATACTTATCAGGGTTACCTATTACAATGTGTGAATTCTTACAGCTATACTTAGCAGGGTTACCTATTACAATGTGTGAATTCTTACAGCTATACTTATCAGGGTTACCTATTACACTGAGTGAATTCTTACAGCTATACTTATCAGGGTTACCTATTACACTGAGTGAATTCTTACAGCTATACTTAGCAGGGTTACCTATTACAATGTGTGAATTCTTACAGCTATACTTATCAGGGTTACCTATTACACTGAGTGAATTCTTACAGCTATACTTATCAGGGTTACCTATTACACTGAGTGAATTCTTACAGCTATACTTATCAGGGTTACCTATTACACTGAGTGAATTCTTACAGCTATACTTATCAGGGCTACCTATTACACTGAGTGAATTCTTACAGCTATACTTATCAGGGTTACCTATTACACTGAGTGAATTCTTACAGCTATACTTATCAGGGTTACCTATTACACTGAGTGAATTCTTACAGCTATACTTATCAGGGTTACCTATTACACTGAGTGAATTCTTACAGCTATACTTATCAGGGTTACCTATTACACTGAGTGAATTCTTACAGCTATACTTATCTGGGTTACCTGTTACACTGAGTGAATTCTTATAGCTATACTTATCAGGGTTACCTGTTACACTGTGTGAGTTTTTTGTGTTAATTTAAGCAGTTTTAAATCTCTCTAATGTAAGCCATTAGCGGTAATAGTATACTGTACACTTTGTGGTAGGTTGCGACTGGGATGGTGGCTGGAACTTTCTTCTCAGCTCCGATGATGTTCATGTCTGCTAGAATGTTGACTGTGGTGGTCAACAGTGAGATGGATTACAAGACATTGCTGCTAGAGACATCATTTGATACCAGCATCATCAGCGTTGTCTGCTGTGTAAGTTTTCAACAATTCCCTTTGAAAATGACTTACCTATTTATCTAACAGAAGTGATATTACCTTTCTATTTCCTAGAAGAGGGGTAAAAAATAAATAAATTGATGAACCCAGCCTCTTCGCCTGTTGTGATTGACCACTGCGCCTTTCTATTCCCTGTTATGTTCTGTGTAAGGAGGATCAGCTCGGACAGTCCAGATAAGATAGGGAGATCAGTTGTCTCTATATCTAAGAACTTTTTTCTCTATAATGAGTGCTTGTTATGAAGATTTAGAGGATTTGATTAATCATGAACTATTTTTTATTTGTTTTATCAGGTTTGGGTACTCGGTATCCTTCTCTTTAGTAAACGATACAAGAAGATGCCCCACCAGTTTCTTCTCTGTCTGGTTTTCACACATGTAAGTGATAGATATGTATACTTTATATGAAAGCTTTATATACAAAGACATGCATTGTCAGCCAAAGACATTAATTCACAAAAATCCCAAAGATATCATTTTTCACCCTAAATAATGACTGTAATTAACCAAAATAGTGTCATATATTTTTACCTTGCATCACACAAAAATTCACTTAAATGTTGAATATTTTCACCCTACACAACTAATAAATTTCCAAAACAGTGAATATTTTCACCCTACACAACCAATAGATTACCAAAACAGTGAATATTTTCACCCTACACAACCAATAGATTACCAAAACAGTGAATATTTTCACCCTACACAACCAATAGATTACCAAAACAGTGAATATTTTCACCCTACACAACCAATAGATTACCAAAACAGTGAATATTTTCACCCTACACAACCAATAGATTTCCAAAACAGTGAATATTTTCACCCTACACAACCAATAGATTACCAAAACAGTGAATATTTTCACCCTACACAACCAATAGATTACCAAAACAGTGAATATTTTCACCCTACACAACCAATAGATTACCAAAACAGTGAATATTTTCACCCTACACAACCAATAGATTACCAAAACAGTGAATATTTTCACCCTACACAACCAATAGATTACCAAAACAGTGAATATTTTCACCCTACACAACCAATAGATTACCAAAACAGTGAATATTTTCACCCTACACAACCAATAGATTACCAAAACAGTGAATATTTTCACCCTACACAACCAATAGATTACCAAAACAGTGAATATTTTCACCCTACACAACCAATAGATTACCAAAACAGTGAATATTTTCACCCTACACAACCAATAGATTACCAAAACAGTGAATATTTTCACCCTATGCAACAACCAATAATTCACTAAAACTGCATATTTCTACCTTACAAAACAATAGATAATTTATTAAAACTGAATATTTTCAACCTCATAAAAAGTGATAATGAATCAAAACTAAATATTTTCACCCTTCATAAAAAGTGATAGTTCACCAAAACTGAATATTTTTACCCTATTAAATAACTGTTATCATACTATCTAGTTCATATTCACACCACCACATTACATAATCTAGTTCTAATTTTACACCTTATAATATTTTGGTGGTCAATAGTCAACGGCTCCTTATTTAGCAATGTTCTGACCCTAAAGTCCAGAACAGGAATTTCCCCCAACGATTTAATTATTTTTTAAGATTGATAAACAGCGCACGAAACAGAATGTTTGTCAGATAATTAAACACATAGCACAGTGCATGTGTTCTAAATATTAATCTTTATCTGGTTAACAGCTGATGTCCTGTGTGGGTATGATTATATACAATGGGCGAGACTGTGGTCAGCTGTCATGGAAACACTACCTACAGTTTGCGCTGATCTTGATTGGAGTATTCGCCACACGTTGCTGGACAGCCATGATCTCTCTGACTTTATATTTGCTGCACTGTCGTAGCTTATGCTCCGTTCTACGCTTCAGAGCCTGGATGTACCTGTTTGCATTTGGGTATGTTTGTATTCTGGGATACATTTTACTTGGTTGAACCAAAAAACTGCTAATTTAGAAAAAAAAGGTTCAACTTGAAATTCAAACGAAAGTGAAAGTTCCAGTTTGAAAGTGATTATGCAAAAATGTTTAACTAATATCATGTTGAAGTCTGGAAAAAAATTGGTACTTACATATATCACAGTGACTTCAGTAATGACTTTGATTTCAGTAAAAATACACTCATGATATACTCTGATATATCAGTGTAATAACTTTCTGGTTGATGATAGGTTCCCAATATTCTGTACAGGTGTGAACTGTTTGATGTTTTTCAGGTTCCCAGTATTCTGTACAGGTGTGAACTGTTTGATGTTTTCCAGGTTCCCAGTATTCTGTACAGGTGTGAACTGTTTGATGTTTTCCAGGTTCTCAGTATTCTGTACAGGTGTGAACTGTTTGATGTTTTCCAGGTTCCCAGTATTCTGTACAGGTGTGAACTGTTTGATGTTTTTCAGGTTCCCAGTATTCTGTACAGGTGTGAACTGTTTGATGTTTTCCAGGTTCCCAGTATTCTGTACATGTGTGAACTGTTTGATATTTTCAGGTTCCCAGTATTCTGTACAGGTGTGAACTGTTTGATATTTTCAGGTTCCCAGTATTCTGTACAGGTGTGAACTCTGTGTTTGATGTTTTTCAGGTTCCCAGTATTCTGTACAGGTGTGAACTCTGTGTTTGATGTTTTCCAGGTTCCCAGTATTCTGTACAGGTGTGAACTGTTTGATGTTTTTTCAGGTTCCCAGTATTCTGTACAGGTGTGAACTCTGTGTTTGATGTTTTTCAGGTTCCCAGTTATTCTATACAGGTGTGAACTCTGTGTTTGATGTTTTTCAGGTTCCCAGTATTCTGTACAGGTGTGAACTCTGTGTTTGATGTTTTCCAGGTTCCCAGTATTCTGTACAGGTGTGAACTGTTTGATGTTTTCCAGGTTCCCAGTATTCTGTACAGGTGTGAACTGTTTGATGTTTTTCAGGTTCCCAGTATTCTGTACAGGTGTGAACTGTTTGATGTTTTTCAGGTTCCCAGTATTCAGTATTCTGTACAGGTGTGAACTGTTTGATATTTTTCAGGTTCCCAGTATTCTGTACAGGTGTGAACTGTTTGATGTTTTTCAGGTTCCCAGTATTCTGTACAGGTGTGAACTGTTTGATGTTTTTCAGGTTCCCAGTATTCTGTACAGGTGTGAACTGTTTGATATTTTCAGGTTCCCAGTATTCTGTACAGGTGTGAACTCTGTGTTTGATGTTTTTCAGGTTCCCAGTATTCTATACAGGTGTGAACTCTGTGTTTGATGTTTTTCAGGTTCCCAGTATTCTGTACAGGTGTGAACTCTGTGTTTGATGTTTTTCAGGTTCCCAGTATTCTATACAGGTGTGAACTCTGTGTTTGATGTTTTTCAGGTTCCCAGTATTCTGTACAGGTGTGAACTCTGTGTTTGATGTTTTCCAGGTTCCCAGTATTCTGTACAGGTGTGAACTCTGTGTTTGATGTTTTTCAGGTTCCCAGTATTCTGTACAGGTGTGAACTCTGTGTTTGATGTTTTTCAGGTTCCCAGTATTCTGTACAGGTGTGAACTCTGTGTTTGATGTTTTCCAGGTTCCCAGTATTCTGTACAGGTGTGAACTGTTTGATGTTTTCCAGGTTCCTAGTATTCTGTACAGGTGTGAACTGTTTGATGTTTTTTCAGGTTCCCAGTATTCTGTAGAGGTGTGAACTCTGTGTTTGATGTTTTCAGGTTCCCAGTATTCTGTACAGGTGTGAACTGTTTGATGTTTTCAGGTTAATTGTATTCTGTACAGGTGTGAACTGTTCGATGTTTTCAGGTTCCTAGTATTCTGTACAAGTGTGAACTGTTTGATGTTTTTTCAGGTTCCCAGTATTCTGTAGAGGTGTGAACTCTGTGTTTGATGTTTTCAGGTTCCCAGTATTTTGTACAGGTGTGAACTCTGTGTTTGATGTTTTTAAGGTTCCCAGTATTCTGTACAGGTGTGAACTCTGTGTTTGATGTTTTTCAGGTTCCCAGTATTCTGTACAGGTGTGAACTCTGTGTTTGATGTTTTTAAGGTTCCCAGTATTCTGTACAGGTGTGAACTCTGTGTTTGATGTTTTTCAGGTTCCCAGTATTCTGTACAGGTGTGAACTGTTTGATGTTTTCAGGTTCCCAGTATTCTGTACAGGTGTGAACTGTTTGATGTTTTCAGGTTAATTGTATTCTGTACAGGTGTGAACTCTGTGTTTGATGTTTTCCAGGTTCCCAGTATTCTGTACAGGTGTGAACTGTTTGATGTTTTTTCAGGTTCCCAGTATTCTGTACAGGTGTGAACTGTTTGATATTTACAGGTTCCCAGTATTCTGTACAGGTGTGAACTGTTTGATGTTTTTCAGGTTCCCAGTATTCTGTACAGGTGTGAACTGTTTGATGTTTTTCAGGTTTCAGTATTCTGTACAGGTGTGAACTGTTTGATGTTTTTCAGGTTTCAGTATTCTGTACAGGTGTGAACTGTTTGATATTTTCAGGTTCCCAGTATTCTGTACAGGTGTGAACTGTTTGATGTTTTTCAGGTTCCCAGTATTCTGTACAGGTGTGAACTCTGTGTTTGATGTTTTCAGGTTCCCAGTATTCTGTACAGGTGTGAACTCTGTGTTTGATGTTTTTCAGGTTCCCAGTATTCTGTACAGGTGTGAACTCTGTGTTTGATGTTTTTCAGGTTCCCAGTATTCTGTACAGGTGTGAACTCTGTGTTTGATGTTTTTCAGGTTCCCAGTATTCTGTACAGGTGTGAACTCTGTGTTTGATGTTTTTCAGGTTCCCAGTATTCTGTACAGGTGTGAACTCTGTGTTTGATGTTTTTCAGGTTCCCAGTATTCTGTACAGGTGTGAACTCTGTGTTTGATATTTTCAGGTTCCTAGTATTCTGTACAGGTGTGAACTGTTTGATGTTTTTTCAGGTTCCCAGTATTCTGTACAGGTGTGAACTCTGTGTTTGATGTTTTCAGGTTCCCAGTATTCTGTACAGGTGTGAACTGTTTGATGTTTTTCAGGTTCCCAGTATTCTGTACAGGTGTGAACTGTTTGATGTTTTTCAGGTTCCCAGTATTCTGTACAGGTGTGAAGTGTGTTTGATTTTCAGGTTCCCAGTATTCTGTACAGGTGTGAACTGTTTGATGTTTTCAGGTTAATTGTATTCTGTACAGGTGTGAACTGTTTGATGTTTTTCAGGTTTCAGTATTCTGTACAGGTGTGAACTCTGTGTTTGATGTTTTTCAGGTTCCCAGTATTCTGTACAGGTGTGAACTCTGTGTTTGATGTTTTTCAGGTTCCCAGTATTCTGTACAGGTGTGAACTGTTTGATGTTTTCCAGGTTCCCAGTATTCTGTACAGGTGTGAACTGTTTGATGTTTTCAGGTTCCCAGTATTCTGTACAGGTGTGAACTGTTTGATGTTTTTCAGGTTCCCAGTATTCTGTACAGGTGTGAACTGTTTGATGTTTTCAGGTTCCCAGTATTCTGTACAGGTGTGAACTGTTTGATGTTTTCAGGTTAATTGTATTCTGTACAGGTGTGAACTGTTTGATGTTTTCAGGTTAATTGTATTCTGTACAGGTGTGAACTGTTTGATGTTTTTCAGGTTTCAGTATTCTGTACAGGTGTGAACTGTTTGATGTTTTTCAGGTTCCCAGTATTCTGTACAGGTGTGAACTGTTTGATGTTTTCAGGTTAATTGTATTCTGTACAGGTGTGAACTGTTTGATGTTTTTCAGGTTTCAGTATTCTGTACAGGTGTGAACTGTTTGATGTTTTCCAGGTTTCAGTATTCTGTACAGGTGTGAACTGTTTGATGTTTTCCAGGTTTCAGTATTCTGTACAGGTGTGAACTGTTTGATGTTTTCAGGTTTCAGTATTCTGTACAGGTGTGAACTGTTTGATGTTTTCAGGTTAATTGTATTCTGTACAGGTGTGAACTGTTTGATGTTTTCAGGTTAATTGTATTCTGTAATTGTATTCTGTACAGGTGTGAACTGTTTGATGTTTTCAGGTTCCCAGTATTCTGTACAGGTGTGAACTGTTTGATGTTTTGATGTATTTTCAGGTGTGAACTGTTTGATGTTTTCAGGTTAATTGTATTCTGTACAGGTGTGAACTGTTTGATGTTTTTATGTTTACAGTATTCTGTACAGGTGTGAACTGTTTGATGTTTTCAGGTTTCAGTATTCTGTACAGGTGTGAACTGTTTGATGTTTTCAGGTTAATTGTATTCTGTACAGGTGTGAACTGTTTGATGTTTTTCAGGTTTCAGTATTCTGTACAGGTGTGAACTGTTTGATGTTTTCAGGTTAATTGTATTCTGTACAGGTGTGAACTGTTTGATGTTTTCAGGTTAGTATTTGTAGGTGTCTGTACAGGTGTGAACTGTTTGATGTTTTCAGGTTAATTGTATTCTGTACAGGTGTGAACTGTTTGATGTTTTCAGGTTAATTGTATTCTGTACAGGTGTGAACTGTTTGATGTTTTCAGGTTAATTGTATTCTGTACAGGTGTGAACTGTTTGATGTTTTCAGGTTAATTGTATTCTGTACAGGTGTGAACTGTTTGATGTTTTCAGGTTAATTGTATTCTGTACAGGTGTGAACTGTTTGATGTTTTCAGGTTAATTGTATTCTGTACAGGTGTGAACTGTTTGATGTTTTCAGGTTAATTGTATTCTGTACAGGTGTGAACTGTTTGATGTTTTCAGGTTAATTGTATTCTGTACAGGTGTGAACTGTTTGATGTTTTCAGGTTAATTGTATTCTGTACAGGTGTGAACTGTTTGATGTTTTCAGGTTAATTGTATTCTGTACAGGTGTGAACTGTTTGATGTTTTCAGGTTAATTGTATTCTGTACAGGTGTGAACTGTTTGATGTTTTGTGTATTCTGTACAGGTGTAATTGTATTCTGTACAGGTGTGAACTGTTTGATGTTTTCAGGTTAATTGTATTCTGTACAGGTGTGAACTGTTTGATGTATTTTCAGGTGTGAACTGTTTGATGTTTTCAGTATTCTGTACAGGTGTGAACTGTTTGATGTTTTCAGGTTAATTGTATTCTGTACAGGTGTGAACTGTTTGATGTTTTCAGGTTAATTGTATTCTGTACAGGTGTGAACTGTTTGATGTTTTCAGGTTTCAGTATTCTGTACAGGTGTGAACTGTTTGATGTTTTCAGGTTAATTGTATTCTGTACAGGTGTGAACTGTTTGATGTTTTCAGGTTAATTGTATTCTGTACAGGTGTGAACTGTTTGATGTTTTTCAGGTTTCAGTATTCTGTACAGGTGTGAACTGTTTGATGTTTTCAGGTTTCAGTATTCTGTACAGGTGTGAACTGTTTGATGTTTTCAGGTTAATTGTATTCTGTACAGGTGTGAACTGTTTGATGTTTTCAGGTTAATTGTATTCTGTACAGGTGTGAACTGTTTGATGTTTTCCAGGTTTCAGTATTCTGTACAGGTGTGAACTGTTTGATGTTTTCAGGTTAATTGTATTCTGTACAGGTGTGAACTGTTTGATGTTTTCAGGTTAATTGTATTCTGTACAGGTGTGAACTGTTTGATGTTTTCCAGGTTTCAGTATTCTGTACAGGTGTGAACTGTTTGATGTTTTCAGGTTTCAGTATTCTGTACAGGTGTGAACTGTTTGATGTTTTCAGGTTAGAGTATTCTGTACAGGTGTGAACTGTTTGATGTTTTCAGGTTAATTGTATTCTGTACAGGTGTGAACTGTTTGATGTTTTTCAGGTTTCAGTATTCTGTACAGGTGTGAACTGTTTGATATTTTCAGGTTCCCAGTATTCTGTACAGGTGTGAACTGTTTGATGTTTTTCAGGTTTCAGTATTCTGTACAGGTGTGAACTGTTTGATGTTTTTCAGGTTTCAGTATTCTGTACAGGTGTGAACTGTTTGATGTTTTTCAGGTTTCAGTATTCTGTACAGGTGTGAACTGTTTGATGTTTTTCAGGTTCCCAGTATTCTGTACAGGTGTGAACTGTTTGATGTTTTTTCAGGTTCCCAGTATTCTGTACAGGTGTGAACTGTTTGATGTTTTCCAGGTTCCCAGTATTCTGTACAGGTGTGAACTGTTTGATGTTTTTCAGGTTCCCAGTATTCTATACAGGTGTGAACTGGATGTCAGGTTCCCAGTATTCTGTACAGGTGTGAATTCTGTGTTTGATGTTTTCAGGTTCCCAGTATTCTGTAGAGGTGTGAACTCTGTGTTTGATGTTTTCAGGTTCCCAGTATTCTGTACAGGTGTGAACTCTGTGTTTGATGTTTTCAGGTTCCCAGTATTCTGTAGAGGTGTGAACTCTGTGTTTGATGTTTTTCAGGTTCCCAGTATTCTGTGTTTGATGTTTTCAGGTTCCCAGTATTCTGTAGAGGTGTGAACTCTGTGTTTGATGTTTTTCAGGTTCCCAGTATTCTGTACAGATGTGAACTGTTTGATGTTTTCCAGGTTCCCAGTATTCTATACAGGTGTGAACTGTTTGATGTTTTTCAGGTTCCCAGTATTCTATACAGGTGTGAACTCTGTGTTTGATATTTTTCAGGTTCCCAGTATTCTGTACAGGTGTGAACTGTTTGATGTTTTTCAGGTTCCCAGTATTCTGTTCAGGTGTGAACTGTTTGATGTTTTTTCAGGTTCCCAGTATTCTGTACTGGCATGCTGTTTATTTTGGGATCTCACCACGTCCACGATGAGATTGATCCCTCTTTCCACTATGGATCAGATCAGGTAAATATAGTATTGTAAACCAACTTACTTTTAGAGATACTCATGATCACCGTCTCATTTTTCTAATTATTATAAGTTCACAGCAATTGATTATCTTGAATTCTGAGCCACCATAATTTTTTTCCATGAAGATGGTTTTCATTTAAACCCAGTAATCAGTCCCATTGTGGTAACTAGTAAGCCATGACAGGTGATCTTTACCGAGGATGTTTGAGGGACACGGGACAATAGTGACTTTTCAGACTAAAACGACTTTAATATTGTACAAAACTCATAGAAATAAACCTATCTAATTATCCTTCAAATTCATTAGATGGCTTATATCTTTTGTTTATATACTAATGTAAAGGTTGATACAATTATTTAAAAACATGGTTTTATATATTATGGATGCCACACCACTCCAGACCACACCACTCCAGACTATACCACTCCACATCACACAACTTCAGACTACACCACTCCAGACTATACCACTCCAGACCACACCACTCCAGACTATACCACTCCACATCACACCACTCCAGACCACACCACTCCAAACTATACCACTCCACATCACACCACTCCAGACTACACCACTCCAGACTGTACCACTCCAGACCACACCACTCCAGACTATACCACTCCACATCACACCACTCCAGACTACACCACTCATAACTACACCACTCCAGAGCACACCACTCGAAACTACACCACTCCACATCACACCACTCCATATCACACCACACCACACCACTCCAGACCACACCACTCCACATCACACCACTCCAGACCACACCACTCGAAACTACACCACTCCAGAGCACACCACTCGAAACTACACCACTCCACATCACACCACTCCATATCACACCACACCACTCCAGACCACACCACTCCACATCACACCACTCCAGACCACACCAATCGAAACTACACCACTCAAGAGCACACCACTCGAAACTACACCACTCCACATCACACCACTCCATATCACACCACACCACTCCAGACCACACCACTCCACATCACACCACTCCAGACCACACTACTCGAAACTACACCACTCCAGAGCACACCACTCGAAACTACACCACTCCACATCACACCACTCCATATCACACCACACCACTCCAGACCACACCACTCGAAACTACACCACTCCACATCACACCACTCCATATCACACCACACCACTCCAGACCACACCACTCCACATCACACCACTCCAGACCACACCAATCGAAACTACATCACTCCAGAGCACACCACTCAAAACTACACCACTCCACATCACACCACTCCATATCACACCACACCACTCCAGACCACACCACTCCACATCACACCACTCCAGACCACACCAATCGAAACTACACCACTCAAGAGCACACCACTCAAAACTACGCCACTCCACATCACACCACTCCAGACCACACTACTCGAAACTACACCACTCCAAACCACACCACTCCACATCACACCACTCGAAACTACACCACTCCACATCACACCACTCGAAACTACACCACTCCACATCACACCACTCCACATCACACCACTCTAAACTACACCACTCCAAATCACACCACTCCAGACCACACCACTCCACATCACATAACTCCACATCACACCACTCCAGACTACACCACTCCAGACCACACCACGTCAGACCACACAACTCCAGACCACACCACTTCAGACCACACAACTCCAGACCACACCACTTCAGACCACACAACTCCAGACCACACCACTTCAGACCACACAACTCCAGACCACACCACTATAGACCACACCTCCAGACTACACTACTCTAGACTATACAACTAGACCAGTAGAAAACCAAAGGTAAATCAAAAAGAAGTTACTATAACTTGAAGACTTTGTTACTCATATCTTTGATAATGAAATTCAGAACATCAAATAAATTTACCTAAGAGAATGTTTCGAGGCCATTAAGAACAAATATTCCCTTAAATCAGCCTCTCTGCTGTTGAGTTTAAGTATCTTTTTCCTCATTCCTTTATTATCCTTGTGGAAAAAAAATGTTGAGAAAATACAGATTATGATATATGTCCCAATTGACCTTGTCTTAATTCTGTTTTCCACACCTAGGGATCGTCTTTGTAGATTACAGAGTTGTCCCTATTGACCTTGTCTTAATTCTGTTTTCCACACCTAGGGATCGTCCTTGTAGATTACAGAGTTGTCTGTCCCTGCTGACCTTGTGTTAATTCTGTTTTCCACACCTAGGGTATAGAGTTGTCCCTATTGACCTTGTCTTAATTCTGTTTTCCACACCTAGGGATCGTCCTTGTGGATTATAGAGTTGTCCCTGCTGACCTTGTCTTAATTCTGTTTTCCACACCTAGGGATTGTCCTTGTGGATTATAGAGTTGTCTGTCCCTATTGACCTTGTCTTAATTCTGTTTTCAACATCTAGGTATCGTCCTTGTGGATTACAGAATTGTCTGTCCCTATTGACCTTGTGTTAATTCTGTTTTCCACACCTAGGGTATCGTCCTTGTGGATTACAGAGTTGTCCCTATTGACCTTGTCTTAATTCTGTTTTCCACACTAGGGTATCGTCCTTGTGGATTACAGAGTTGTCACTATTGACCTTGTGTTAATTCTGTTTTCAACACCTAGGGTATTGTCCTTTTGGATTATAGAGTTGTCCCTATTGACCTTGTCTTAATTCTGTTTTCAACACCTAGGGTATTGTCCTTTTGGATTACAGAGTTGTCCCTATTGACCTTGTGTGAATACTGTTTTCAACACCTAGGGTATCGTCCTTTTGGATTACAGAGTTGTCCCTATTGACCTTGTGTTAATTCTGTTTTCAACACCTAGGGTATCGTCCTTGTGGATTACAGAGTTGTCACTATTGACCTTGTCTTAATTCTGTTTTCAACACCTAGGGTATCGTCCTTGTCTTAATTCTGATTCAACACCTAGGGATCGTCCTTTTGGTTGTCCCTATTGACCTTGTCTTAATTCTGTTTTCCACACCTAGGGTATCGTCCTTTTGGATTACAGAGTTGTCCCTATTGACCTTGTCTTAATTCTGTTTTCAACACCTAGGGTATCGTCCTTGTGGATTACAGAGTTGTCACTATTGACCTTGTCTTAATTCTGTTTTCAACACCTAGGGTATCGTCCTTTTGGATTACAGAGTTGTCCCTATTGACCTTGTCTTAATTCTGTTTTCCACACCTAGGGTATCGTCCTTTTGGATTACAGAGTTGTCCCTATTGACCTTGTCTTAATTCTGTTTTCCACACCTAGGGTATCGTCCTTTTGGATTACAGAGTTGTCCCTATTGACCTTGTCTTAATTATGTTTTCCACACCTAGGGTATCGTCCTTTTGGATTACAGAGTTGTCACAATTGACCTTGTCTTAATTATGTTTTCCACACCTAGGGTATCGTCCTTTTGGATTACAGAGTTGTCCCTATTGACCTTGTCTTAATTCTGTTTTCAACACCTAGGGTATCGTCCTTGTGGATTTCCCTAGTTACCTTGTGTTAATTCTGTTTTCCACACCTAGGATATCGTCCTTTTGGATTAAAGAGTTGTCCCTATTGACCTTGTCTTAATTCTGTTTTCAACACCTAGCTAGGGTGTCGTCCTTGTGGATTATAGAGTTGTCCCTATTGACCTTGTCTTAATTCTGTTTTCAACACCTAGCTAGGGTGTCGTCCTTGTGGATTACAGAGTTGTCCCTATTGACCTTGTCTTAATTCTGTTTTCAACACCTAGGGTATTGTCCTTGTGGATTACAGAGTTGTCCCTATTGACCTTGTCTTAATTCTGTTTTCAACACCTAGGGTATCGTCCTTGTGGATTACAGAGTTGTCACTATTGACCTTGTGTTAATTCTGTTTTCAACACCTAGGGTATTGTCCTTTTGGATTACAGAGTTGTCCCTATTGACCTGGTCTTAATTCTGTTTTCAACACCTAGGGTATCGTCCTGATTACAGAGTTGTCTGTCCCTAGTTGACCTTGTGTTAATTCTGTTTTCCACACCTAGGGTATCGTCCTTTTGGATTACAGAGTTGTCCCTATTGACCTTGTCTTAATTCTGTTTTCAACACCTAGGGTATCGTCCTTGTGGATTACAGAGTTGTCACTATTGACCTTGTGTTAATTCTGTTTTCAACACCTAGGGTATCGTCCTTTTGGATTACAGAGTTGTCCCTATTGACCTTGTCTTAATTCTGTTTTCCACACCTAGGGTATCGTCCTTTTGGATTACAGAGTTGTCCCTATTGACCTTGTCTTAATTCTGTTTTCCACACCTAGGGTATCGTCCTTTTGGATTACAGAGTTGTCCCTATTGACCTTGTCTTAATTCTGTTTTCAACACCTAGGGTATCGTCCTTGTGGATTACAGAGTTGTCCCTATTGACCTTGTCTTAATTCTGTTTTCCACACCTAGGGTATCGTCCTTTTGGATTACAGTTGTCCCTATTGACCTTGTCTTAATTCTGTTTTCAACACCTAGGGTATCGTCCTTGTGGATTACAGAGTTGTCCCTATTGACCTTGTCTTAATTCTGTTTTCAACACCTTGTCCTTGTGGATTCAGAGTTGTCCCTATTGACCTTGTCTTAATTCTGTTTTCAACACCTAGGGTATCGTCCTTTTGGATTACAGAGTTGTCCCTATTGACCTTGTCTTAATTCTGTTTTCAACACCTAGGGTATCGTCCTTGTGGATTACAGAGTTGTCACTATTGACCTTGTGTTAATTCTGTTTTCCACACCTAGGGTATTGTCCTTTTGGATTATAGAGTTGTCCCTATTGACCTTGTCTTAATTCTGTTTTCAACACCTAGGGTATCGTCCTTGTGGATTACAGAGTTGTCACTATTGACCTTGTGTTAATTCTGTTTTCAACACCTAGGGTATCGTCCTTTTGGATTACAGAGTTGTCCCTATTGACCTTGTCTTAATTCTGTTTTCAACACCTAGGGTATCGTCCTTGTGGATTACAGAGTTGTCCCTATTGACCTTGTCTTAATTCTGTTTTCAACACCTAGGGTATCGTCCTTGTGGATTACAGACCTTGTCTTAATTCTGTTGTCGTCCTACAGAGTTGTCCCTATTGACCTTGTCTTAATTCTGTTTTCCACACCTAGGGTATCGTCCTTTTGGATTACAGAGTTGTCTCTATTGACCTTGTCTTAATTCTGTTTTCAACACCTAGGGTATCGTCCTTGTGGATTACAGAGAGAGTTGTCACTATTGACCTTGTCTTAATTCTGTTTTCCACACCTAGGGTATCGTCCTTTTGGATTACAGAGTTGTCCCTATTGACCTTGTCTTAATTCTGTTTTCCACACCTAGGGTATCGTCCTTTTGGATTACAGAGTTGTCCCTATTGACCTTGTCTTAATTCTGTTTTCAACACCTAGGGTATCGTCCTTTTGGATTACAGAGTTGTCCCTATTGACCTTGTCTTAATTCTGTTTTCAACACCTAGGGTATCGTCCTTTTGGATTACAGAGTTGTCCCTATTGACCTTGTCTTAATTCTGTTTTCAACACCTAGGGTATTGTCCTTTTGGATTACAGAGTTGTCCCTATTGACCTTGTCTTAATTCTGTTTTCAACATCTAGGTATCGTTCTTGTGGATTACAGAGTTGTCCCTATTGACCTTGTCTTAATTCTGTTTTCAACACCTAGGGTATTGTCCTTGTGGATTACAGAGTTGTCCCTATTGACCTTGTCTTAATTCTGTTTTCAACACCTAGGGTATCGTCCTTGTGGATTACAGAGTTGTCCCTATTGACCTTGTCTTAATTCTGTTTTATTGTCCTTGTGGATTTGTCCCTATTGACCTTGTTTTCCACACCTAGGGATTGTCCTTGTGGATTATAGAGTTGTCCCTATTGACCTTGTCTTAATTCTGTTTTCAACACCTAGGGTATTGTCCTTTTGGATTACAGAGTTGTCCCTATTGACCTTGTCTTAATTCTGTTTTCAACACCTAGGGTATCGTCCTTGTGGATTACAGAGTTGTCTGTCCCTAGTTACCTTGTGTTAATTCTGTTTTCCACACCTAGGATATCGTCCTTTTGGATTACAGAGTTGTCCCTATTGACCTTGTCTTAATTCTGTTTTCAACACCTAGGGTATCGTCCTTGTGGATTACAGAGTTTTGTTGTCCCTATTGACCTTGTCTTAATTCTGTTTTCAACATCTAGGTATCGTTCTTGTGGATTACAGAGTTGTCCCTATTGACCTTGTCTTAATTCTGTTTTCAACACCTAGGGTATCGTCCTTTTGGATTACAGAGTTGTCCCTATTGACCTTGTCTTAATTATGTTTTCCACACCTAGGGTATCGTCCTTTTGGATTACAGAGTTGTCACTATTGACCTTGTGTTAATTATGTTTTCCACACCTAGGGTATCGTCCTTTTGGATTACAGAGTTGTCCCTATTGACCTTGTCTTAATTCTGTTTTCAACACCTAGGGTATCGTCCTTGTGGATTACAGAGTTGTCTGTCCCTAGTTACCTTGTGTTAATTCTGTTTTCCACACCTAGGATATCGTCCTTTTGGATTAAAGAGTTGTCCCTATTGACCTTGTCTTAATTCTGTTTTCAACACCTAGCTAGGGTGTCGTCCTTGTGGATTATAGAGTTGTCCCTATTGACCTTGTCTTAATTCTGTTTTCAACACCTAGCTAGGGTGTCGTCCTTGTGGATTACAGAGTTGTCCCTATTGACCTTGTCTTAATTCTGTTTTCAACACCTAGGGTATTGTCCTTGTGGATTACAGAGTTGTCCCTATTGACCTTGTCTTAATTCTGTTTTCAACACCTAGGGTATTGTTCTTGTGGATTACAGAGTTGTCACTATTGACCTTGTGTTAATTCTGTTTTCTGCACCTAGGGTATTGTCCTTTTGGATTACAGAGTTGTCCCTATTGACCTTGTCTTAATTCTGTTTTCAACACCTAGGGTATCGTCCTTGTGGATTACAGAGTTGTCTGTCCTGACCTTGTGTTAATTCTGTTTTCCACACCTAGGGTATCGTCCTTTTGGATTACAGAGTTGTCCCTATTGACCTTGTCTTAATTCTGTTTTCAACACCTAGGGTATCGTCCTTGTGGATTACAGAGTTGTCTCTATTGACCTTGTGTTAATTCTGTTTTCAACACCTAGGGTATCGTCCTTTTGGATTACAGAGTTGTCCCTATTGACCTTGTCTTAATTCTGTTTTCCACACCTAGGGTATCGTCCTTTTGGATTACAGAGTTGTCCCTATTGACCTTGTCTTAATTCTGTTTTCCACACCTAGGGTATCGTCCTTGTGGATTACAGAGTTGTCCCTATTGACCTTGTCTTAATTCTGTTTTCCACACCTAGGGTATCGTCCTTTTGGATTACAGAGTTGTCCCTATTGACCTTGTCTTAATTCTGTTTTCCACACCTAGGGTATCGTCCTTGTGGATTACAGAGTTGTCCCTATTGCCCTTGTCTTAATTCTGTTTTCAACACCTAAGGTATGTTCTTGTGGATTACAGAGTTGTCACTATTGACCTTGTGTTAATTCTGTTTTCCACACCTAGGATATCGTCCTTTTGGATTACAGAGTTGTCCCTATTGACCTTGTCTTAATTCTGTTTTCAACACCTAGGGTATCGTCCTTGTGGATTACAGAGTTGTCACTATTGACCTTGTGTTAATTCTGTTTTCAACACCTAGGGAATCTTCCTTGTGGATTACAGAGTTGTCACTATTGACCTTGTCTTAATTCTGTTTTCAACACCTAGGGTATCGTCCTTTTGGATTACAGAGTTGTCCCTATTGACCTTGTCTTAATTCTGTTTTCCACACCTAGGGTATCGTCCTTTTGGATTACAGAGTTGTCCCTATTGACCTTGTGTTAATTCTGTTTTCAACACCTAGGGTATCGTCCTTTTGGATTACAGAGTTGTCCCTATTGACCTTGTCTTAATTCTGTTTTCAACACCTAGGGTATCGTCCTTTTGGATTACAGAGTTGTCCCTATTGACCTTGTCTTAATTCTGTTTTCCACACCTAGGGTATCGTCCTTTTGGATTACAGAGTTGTCCCTATTGACCTTGTCTTAATTCTGTTTTCCACACCTAGGGTATCGTCCTTTTGGATTACAGAGTTGTCCCTATTGACCTTGTCTTAATTCTGTTTTCCACACCTAGGGTATCGTCCTTTTGGATTACAGAGTTGTCCCTATTGACCTTGTCTTAATTCTGTTTTCCACACCTAGGGTATCGTCCTTTTGGATTACAGAGTTGTCCCTATTGACCTTGTCTTAATTCTGTTTTCCACACCTAGGGTATCGTCCTTTTGGATTACAGAGTTGTCCCTATTGACCTTGTCTTAATTCTGTTTTCAACACCTAGGGTATCGTCCTTGTGGATTACAGAGTTGTACCTAGGATATCGTCCTTTTGGATTAAAGAGTTGTCCCTATTGACCTTGTCTTAATTCTGTTTTCAACACCTAGCTAGGGTGTCGTCCTTGTGGATTATAGAGTTGTCCCTATTGACCTTGTCTTAATTCTGTTTTCAACACCTAGGGTATTGTCCTTGTGGATTACAGAGTTGTCCCTATTGACCTTGTCTTAATTCTGTTTTCAACACCTAGGGTATTGTCCTTGTGGATTACAGAGTTGTCCCTATTGACCTTGTCTTAATTCTGTTTTCAACACCTAGGGTATTGTCCTTGTGGATTACAGAGTTGTCCCTATTGACCTTGTCTTAATTCTGTTTTCAACACCTAGGGTATTGTCCTTGTGGATTACAGAGTTGTCCCTATTGACCTTGTCTTAATTCTGTTTTCAACACCTAGGGTATTGTCCTTGTGGATTACAGAGTTGTCCCTATTGACCTTGTCTTAATTCTGTTTTCAACACCTAGGGTATTGTTCTTGTGGATTACAGAGTTGTCACTATTGACCTTGTGTTAATTCTGTTTTCTGCACCTAGGGTATTGTCCTTTTGGATTACAGAGTTGTCCCTATTGACCTTGTCTTAATTCTGTTTTCAACACCTAGGGTATCGTCCTTGTGGATTACAGAGTTGTCCCTATTGACCTTGTGTTAATTCTGTTTTCCACACCTAGGGTATCGTCCTTTTGGATTACAGAGTTGTCCCTATTGACCTTGTCTTAATTCTGTTTTCCACACCTAGGGATCGTCCTTGTGGATTATTGAGTTGTCCCTATTGACCTTGTCTTAATTCTGTTTTTCAACACCTAGGGGATTGTCCAATTTTTGATGACATCAGAATATTTTGATAACTGTGTGCATTGTTGTTGTTTTTCAGACTATCTTTTCTGTGGTGGTGCTTGTACTGTGTAGTGTGATTAACATTGTGTGTCTCATACTAAAACAGAGGAACAACAGGATACGATCTGAGTCCCGTGTCACGCTAGACTCCGATGGTTCAGGAGACAGCACAACTCTACGTCGACAAAGAGCACACAGAAAAGTGTACAAGCCAACTAAACACATGAAATCATCATCCAACAATAGTTCTAGTAGATTTTCCTCATCTGGTGTACAAACCGATATTGAAGATATGAGTAGTGGCAGGTTTGTCTCGTCTGGCTCTTTAGAGGACAGTGGCTCACTGAGTGTGAATTCTCAGTGTGAACAACGCCAAGCAGAAAACAAACAGAACTGTGATAGCTGTACGGGTGGATGTTACCAAGGTAACTGTATATGTAGTATCAAGTTCAAGGTCATTATATCTAAACATTGAAAAATTACGGTCAGAAATCATATGAGGAAATGAATTGTGCCCTGCAACAAAAAATATTATGAAAATTCTTATAAAAATCATCCGTTTGGATGTATACATTTTTAGTACCTTTATTTTAAATTTAACAAATCCTATATGTTAGCTTCCTATTTAAGGTTCTCCGATTGATAAGCTCATTCATATAGAATTCAGGCATACCACATTTAGTACCTTTATTTTAAATTTAACAAATCCTATATGTTAGCTTCCTATTTAAGGTTCTCCGATTGATAAGCTCATTCATATAGAATTCAGGCATACCACAGCTAATATCTGAGTTTTGGTTACAAAACTCATTTTAATTTGTTACTTGTTGATTCACCATTATTCCAACAAAATTGTGCCAAATGATATACAGCAAACTGTTCTGAGAGACATTCTCAGAAAGAAAAACCTGTACTGAGAGACCATCTTAGGAAGTTAAACCTGTACTGAGAGACCATCTTAGGAAGTTAAAACTGTAGTGAGAGACAATCTTAGAAAGTTCAACTGATACTGAAAGACCATCTTAGAAAGTTACCTGTACTGAGAGACCATCTTAGGAAGTTAAAACTGTAGTGAGAGACAATCTTAGAAAGTTAAACTGATACTGAAAGACCATCTTAAGAAGTTAAACCTGTACTGAGAGACCATCTTAAGAAGTTAAACTTGTACTAAGAAATCATCGTAGAAAGTAAAAAGCTGTGATGAGAGATCATCTTTAAAGATGTGAAATGAATGTTAGTGTGAGTGATATGTTGTAACATTACTGTAATTTACAATTTGGATGTACATGGTCTTGCAATACACGTGGTCTCTTAGACTGATTTAAAATGATGTTTCAGATAAAGACTTTGAAGACATTGTGCCATTCCCAAGTGAGAGAGACAACTTACTCTCTTCAGAGAATTCCTCCATTAGTGACACATCTACTCTACAGGAGAATCTCGAGGATAAAGTATGCAAGTATGGCACCTGTAACAAAGACCAGAGACGAGCTTGTGCCCGATTGGTCAGATCATATCATGCTGATACAGCTCTTATCCAATCAGAAGAGTCAGGCGTGACTATAACCAAGAAGTCCCCCACCAAATCAAACAATAATTTCCAGAGTGGAAAGTTCATGATCCTGTTGATATGTAACCAGGTGTCCATGATTGTGGTGAGTAAATGTTTTGGTGCCGACAGGAAAATGTAATTATGATGTCCATCCATCTACATTTTGGTCCTTCCATACTTTATCTTTAACATGCCAATGTATCAAAAGTAGGTCACCCCTACTTAATTTTTAGCCTTTGATCTAAAGAATAAGGTTTTTCTGGGCTTCACTTCCTACATAACTCATTAATTTGCATGCTAACTTGAACTGTGTATCTTGGGTATGTGTCAACTTTGTACATCACTCTGACCATCGATCTGTTGTTCTTGTATGACCGCTTGTACTACACTCGTTACTTGTCAAACAAGATGGACGTTACTTAATTTCTCTACATTAATACCACCAAATGTAATCAAATGGCAGGCAGTGAAGAATGATAATGATATGATTAATAAGAAGAAACACTAGTCTGAATTACAACCAGTAGAATTTGTAACACTTACAAACTCTAAGTTGACTAAGTAGTTAGAGATTATGAAACTGGTATTTATGTGTGAAGGATCTGTTCCTGTGTAGTCTTGTTTCTATATTTCTAGGGTCTGTCCCTGTGTTCTTGTTTCTATATTTCTAGGGTCTGTTCCTGTGTGTTCTTGTTTCTATATTTCTAGGGTCTGTCCCTGTGTATTCTTGTCTCTATATTTCGAGGGTCTGTCCCTGTGTTCTTGTTTCTATATTTCTAGGGTCTGTCCCTGTGTTCTTGTTTCTATATTTCTAGGGTCTGTTCCTGTGTGTTCTTGTTTCTATATTTCTAGGGTCTGTTCCTGTGTAGTCTTGTTTCTATATTTCTAGGGTCTGTCCCTGTGTTCTTGTTTCTATATTTCTAGGGTCTGTTCCTGTGTAGTCTTGTTTCTATATTTCTAGGGTCTGTTCCTGTGTAGTCTTGTTTCTATATTTCTAGGGTCTGTTCCTGTGTAGTCTTGTTTCTATATTTCTAGGGTCTGTCCCTGTGTAGACTTGTATATATATTTCTAGGGTCTGTTCCTGTGTAGTCTTGTTTCTATATTTCTAGGGTCTGTCCCTGTGTAGTCTTGTTTCTATATTTCTAGGGTCTGTTCCTGTGTAGTCTTGTTTCTATATTTCTAGGGTCTGTCCCTGTGTAGACTTGTATATATATTTCTAGGGTCTGTTCCTGTGTAGTCTTGTTTCTATATTTCTAGGGTCTGTCCCTGTGTAGACTTATATATATATTTCTAGGGTCTGTCCCTGTGTATTCTTGTTTCTATATTTCTAGGGTCTGTCCCTGTGTAATCTTGTTTCTATATTTCTAGGGTCTGTTCCTGTGTATTCTTGTTTCTATATTTCTAGTGTCTGTTCCTGTGTAGTCTTGTTTCTATATTTCTAGGGTCTGTTCCTGTGTAGTCTTGTTTCTATATTTCTAGGGTCTGTTCCTGTGTAGTCTTGTTTCTATATTTCTAGGGTCTGTCCCTGTGTAGTCTTGTTTCTATATTTCTAGGGTCTGTTCCTGTGTAGTCTTGTTTCTATATTTCTAGGGTCTGTCCCTGTGTAGACTTGTATATATATTTCTAGGGTCTGTTCCTGTGTAGTCTTGTTTCTATATTTCTAGGGTCTGTCCCTGTGTAGTCTTGTTTCTATATTTCTAGGGTCTGTTCCTGTGTAGTTGGAGGCTGATGAACAATAATAAGTCAGGTATCTATGTGGAGATTGAATTCCTGGATGGTGTTTTCAACTATGGCCAGGTAAGTTATTCTGAAATTAGCAACAGACGAGACTAACACTCTATTTGTACGATACTTAATTTCAATTTACATCCATGACAAACAGAACAGATTACCTAAGTTATGGGTTAAAAAATCTTCATAATTAAATATGATTCTGTTTAGTCAGGAACATGCCTGATTTCTGTGCAATATAAATTAAATGTGAGTCAATTTGTCAGGAACTAACCTGAGTTCTGTGTTGATGTAAAAATCTTCATAATTAAATATGAGTGTTTATAGTCATGAACTTAACAGGGTTATGTTATATTTAAAAATCATTATGATTAAATATGAACCTGTTTAGTCTAAAACTTACCTGAGTTATTTGTTATAAAAAGTGATTAGAGTTAAATGTGATTCTGTTAAGTCCTAACATCTTACAACACAATGTTAACCAAGCTTTCTCTCTGATTACAGGGATTTTTGCTTCTTGCCATATTTGGATTTGATACAAAGTTTATCTTCTTGCCCTGCATCAGAAAGTAAGTACAGTAAACCACTAGTGATCAGATGATTAAAATACACTTGTTATAACTGTATGTTCTTTCTTTCTTTAATTCTGTAATTTTCCACAAATTCATTCTTCACAGAACTCTAGAATTCTAGAAAAGGTGAAAATGATGCCTTTCATACAACATAATAATTGTCACCCTACTAAATATATATCGTACTGAGTCAACCCTGTAAATGTTTCTAACAATTGGCTTCTACTAATTAAAATCTGCAAATTTGAAGCTGAATAAATCTAAGATACAAACAATGTACATTGTGTATGTTTTTTTCTTTCTCCAGTTTCTTCCTGAATAGTAACATAAAATGGTTGAATATTTTGTGTTTGAGGTAACCATTTTGTACAATTTTGGTGTCCGCTTATACATATTGTGCATAAATTATGTAAATTGATCGTCGTGGTGGAAAATATTGCTCATATTCACAGCAGCTTCTGTGTTCTTCTATCTAGTTGTAGCATCTCAGAAATTTTACAAATTTTATAAGCGGCCAACTTTAGTTTACAGAAAAAACATTTCTAATTGATGCAAACAGTGTACCCTATAGTCCTAAACAAGACTGACATATCTGGTCAATTCACCATCACTTGTTGATCTGGTTTTTTGTTTTGTTTTTTTTGTTTTTGTTTATTTTTTTCTCTCATAATACTCATTATATGATTAGTTTAACCAAACATCAGTGCATTCTGAATTGATTTGACTTTTGACCTTCATACCATTCGGGCTCAGTTACAGACCACCTTACGACTCTTTTTTAGGTTACCAGCCATTCCCCCTTCATTTCATTGGGATTGACATATATAGTTACCCATGTCTGTCTGGCGGTCCATTCCATTACAAACCAGTGTCATATTTTGAAAACCTCTCAATAGATTGAGCAGGGTATGTCAGGGTGAGGGTAATTCTGTTACAGATATTTTCTAGTCTATAGGTCATCTGACCCAAAGGTCATAAACTATTTCTTTAAAACCCTACTCCTCTTATATATTTTGGTGGATTTCAACCAAATTTGGTCTGATGCATCATTGGGTGAGACTTATCATTTCTTGAATTCAGAATTTTGATTTGATCCCTAGGGGTCAAGGGAAAGGGCTCCAAATGAAGAGGTGCTAAAATTAGCTGTTAAATCCTATTCCTAGACAAATTTTTCTAAAGCTCAAAAATTTCATTGACCCCTAGGGATTTGGTAATAGGGTCCCAAAAGGCAACATTAGGCAAAATTTTGCTTCAGAATGCTATTCCTTTTTAATGCCAGTGTAGATTTCAACCAATTCGGGTTTGAAGATTATTACAGGTGGGTTATCATTTCTAAGATTTAGAAACTTGATTTCACCCTTAGGGACCAGGGGGTGTTGGGGTCCGAAATGGGGAAGTTATTATGTTTCAAAATGCTATTCTTTCTAAAAGCTTGAATGGATTTCAACCAAATTTGATCTTAAACATTTGTTGCAGGTGGGTTACATCATTTCTTAAATTCAGAATGTTGATTCAACTGCTAGAGACCCCAGAGAAATGGTACTCTTTGTTAATGTTTGAATGAATTTCAACCAAATATGATCTGAAACATCATTGAGAGTAGAGAAACATTTCCTTAAATTCAGAAAATTGATTTGACTCCTAGGGACCTGTTTGGCAGGGCCCCAAATGGGAAAGTTAGTCAATGGCTTTGCTTCAAAATGCTACTCTTCCTTACTGCTTGAATGGATTTATACCAATTGTGGTCTGAAATATCATCATGGGAATTCATCAGATTTGTCAGACAACCATCTGCAAATACTGTGGTTTGTCCATCAATTTAATGATTGTCAGATGAAGGCCATGGTCCTCTTGTTCTAATTTTTCATTCTTTGTTATGCCTAAATTTTTGTTTTTCTAAATTTCATGATAATTATTGGAAATGAAATAGATAATATATTGCCTATTACCTTCTGAGAAGTTACAATAGAATCAGATGAAGGAATAGGAGATAAAGTGTCCATTTTGAATGCATGATGTGCTGCCGTATTGTTGTGGCTGTGTGTATTGTAATGTTTTGATTTTGTATCAGATGTATAAATAGGTACAGGATGCATGAGTTATCTACATGTTGCATGTGATTTGCTGGGATTGATTGATATTATCGCCTCGACATTCTTGTCAATAAATTCTCATTGACCTATACATTTAACACATTCATTGAAAATTCAGACTAATTGCCATAGGGTTATGAGGCTGGGGTTATTGAATGCGTAAATGTCAAGCCATGAACTTCTCCAAGTTTCTGCTATGATTTTGATAGTAAACCAATTAAATTCAGCTTTATCTAAAATTAAATATATGGTTATGTGAAACGTACCTTCAAAGCGTGTATCAGTTAAATCTTACATGTAAAACTACACAGAATTATTTGTTGTAGGTTAGAAAGCTTATTTTGCCAGTGTCAGACATGAAATGTTTCGTCGTTTTTGTTACACATAATTGTGATGTTGTAGGTGGCGGCGTTTGGTGTACGGTGTAGAGAATGTCGAGATACCAGATCGGGAAGATCTAGATGAGAAAACACATCATTTGTGTGAACAATTTCTCCGTTACCATAAGGAAAATTGTATCAAGGACATCGTTAGTGACAGAGTGTAAGTATTCCCTGTAGAATGTGGTGGAGGATTAGGCAGAACATATGACAGGTATTCTTTATCAACAATATTAACTCCTTAATTTTGTAGAATAAGATTGATTAGGATACATATATGAAATTGATCATCAAATGGTATGATAGTCTATAGTAATTTTCCATCCTGTCCTATGAGTGTTGTTGGAATGTCAGATGTCAGTACTTCTGTCTAACACATACACTGGTGAATTGTGAAGTTACCTGGATTTACATTAAGTGACACTTTCATTTATACAGGTACAGACTACAGGAATACAAGGCAGTGTTTACAGGTCAAGAAATGTGTGATTGGCTGATTGAGGTTGGGCTGGCTCAGGACCGCAGTGACGCAGTCACATACGCACAGTCTCTCCTGATAGGCCAGGTGTTACAACATGTGACAAAAGAACATCATTTCCATGACATGCCCTACTATTACAGATTTTTAGATGTTGACCTGGAGGAGTTTCCTTAAGGAACTTGTGATGTGTGGATGAATATTGAGACTAATCGTGTATAGAATGATTCTAGATTGAAATGACTGTGATTTCATCAGGAGATGGACAGGATGTTTATAAACCAAGTTATTTTAATAGAAATGACTTTTAGCTGGGTATTCTACTCAGCATATAGAATTGTTGCTGAAGTTCAACATGTACGCATATCATCTGACCAGTTTCTTTCAACATTTGTCCAACAACCTCTGTGGACACTTGACAGCTGTCTTACAACCTCTGTTGTTACCTTTCAACTGTCTTACAAGCTCAGTGGACACTAGACAGCTATCTTATAACCTCTGTTTTTCACCTGCAATTTTGTTATTTTGATATGATCTCAAAACACTTAGTTCACAGAGATGCCTGCCATTCATCTTCATTCCTTGTCTCCAAAATAAATTTATGGTTTCATGATAAAAATGAGCTGATCTTCACATAGGTGAGATATTGATATGACTGCTCAATTTTATTGTGGATGCTGTGCCCCTGTATTTTGATAATTTATACTGATTTATGCCTTTGTTGATATTGTATGGAGGAACCTCAGAAAATCCCTCCAAAAATCCTTGTTGTTGTTGCTGTTGTATTCATTCAAGAGAAATGCACCAGAGAGCTGGTTGGAGTCCATCCTTCACTCTTGTCCAAAGGAATAAATACAAATTCTGTACAAGATGTGTTAGCCATTGATAACTATCATTTATCTCAACTGCCTGAAGATGCATTGTCTGTCATCAGCTTTTCTTTAAACAGTTTCTTTTCAATAATTAAGAGACCCAGGGATTTGATACTGAGCAAGAATCATGCTGCGAAGAAGAGATCCTCAAATGAAAGACCTTGACAAATTTCAAAGTCATCAGTCGAATGTGTTAACATATATTTTACATGTAACAAGCTTTCTGTATTAAGCAAGAGGCCATTGGTGATACTATTTGTCTGGTAACATGTTTGTGTAATGGACTTCCATGTTTACACACACTGGCTTAATGCAGAACAGGAGAGAGTGATACAGGCCCGAAGTAATATATAAATTGACAGATGGAAATGTAAATATCTTTTATTTATTTCACTTTATCATAACCTTACATTGTGTATATTAACTTTTTATTGCAATAATTATTTGTTTAAATATTTTTCTTAAATATCAGAAAAAGCATTTGCTGTATCACCAAGGTTTGAATAGATAAATTAAAAATTATAAGTATATTCTCTGAAATAGGGTAAAACTGATTAAGTATTAAAGATTAAAGTTAACAAGAAATTAATGTAAATCCTTAGCGTACTCATTTCCTCAGAGAAAAAAAATGTTACAAGATGCCAGTTGTGTAAAAGTGGATCCAGTTAGAAGCTTTGACACTGATGTGTTGTTAAATCACTGGTTTTTGTTCAGATATGTAATCCTATCCTCAGGATATGATATATCACATAATCGCATGTTATCCTGAAGGTATTTTTGTTTGCTTGTCTTTGGCTGTTATAATCATACTCTGGTAAATGAAAACCTGTTGCTACAGTTCCAACTTGATGGTTGTAGTTTAGCATCATAGCAGTTACAGAAAAAAAAAGTGGAATCACATATTTAAAGATAGACCCAGAATATGATAGCAAATTTTGAAATGTGTGCAATGTTAATTTCCCTGTTTGAATCAAGACACCCACTCTTCCAAATGTCTGTTTGAACTACTGAACCTCAATGAATGTACAGACACACTTTGTGTGTGTGATATAAAACATTCATAATGCCATGACTTTCATTGTCTGAACTTTACAACGAAATAAATCTGATGATGATGATGTCCAAGTTGATCACAAAAACAATTTCTACATGTGCTCATAATGTATTCCAACTGGTTGGATGTCCCCAAAATTTAGATATACCTGGCAGCTGTCTTACAACTGGTTTGATGTCACCCAAAATTTAGATATACCTGACAGCTGTCTTACGTCTGGTTTGATGTCACCCAAAATTTAGATATACCTGACAGCTGTCTTACGTCTGGTTTGATGTCACCCAAAATTTAGATATACCCAACAGCTGTCTTGCAACTGGTTGGATGTCACCCAAAATTTAAGTATACGTTAAATGTTGTTTTACAGCTGAGATCATGCTGAAAACATCAATTCCTTGGCCACCTAAACTGCTAACGTATTTGAGGCCAAATTTTTAATGTGCAATTCCTCGTGGTAGTTGAAAGTACAGACCATACGTGAGACTTTCACATAATTTTTAAGCCCATTCTGGTATTAATGTGCAAACAGATGTATTTTGCCTTCCTTTGATTAACTTTAAACTATTATTTACTGTAGCCATGGAAAGCTCATTTAAGATCTTGTATTTCTTTAACTGATGTCTGACAGTAATTAAAGGATGAAAATGTGACTGGAAAGTGAGGATAACTGTTTGTAAAGAATACCTCTTGGATGTTACTAAAACTTAGATGATATGACTACATATGATTTCCTTCACACATCTTCATGCATCACCTAACCTAGATCTACTGTGGCAAAAGATATTTTTCCAGTGTACTGGTATCACAGTTACCATGAAAAGTTGTTTAGAGTTTATATTAAATGTTACTGTGCTCATTATTTTTGCTCATTTGATTGTTTGATAAAATATACCCCAACTTCTAAATATATAGCTCGCATTTTACGTCTCCGTTGTAAATATTGGTGTGCTCTGGACTTCATGGTAAGGTGACCTTATTCTATAGTCATTAAACTGGTGCCACAGATTTAAGGTAACAAGTTCGGCTGAGAGATATATAGACAGCTATACACTTATATGAGCTTATACATGGGTGTTACCTGGTAAATTTTGTTTTGTTTTATGTTAAAACAAATTTAACTTATAAGTGATTTTTCATTTGTGTCTATAGGTGCTGTTTTAAAGTTGATTCTCTTGTGTACCATTCATGTTATGTTTATTTTGATTTGTACTATCTGCTGCCTATTTTTAAAAATTTTCAGACACGGGTAAAAATATCCCTTATGTGTACATTCCTTGCCCACACTGTAATCTTTCTTATTTTGAACACGCTTACTAAAAAGCTTAATATATATGTATATATATGACACATTAGAATGGATTTATGTCAAGCATATGACTGTGTACTATTTCACATAGATATACCTAGCATAAAACATCTATTCAGTCTGATACTGATATATAAATATCAGAAAAATATTGAAATGAGATGATCAGTAGAGCGTGTTCTGTAACAGACGAGTACACAAGGGTGAATCCATGTCTATTTACACTAGTCATGTGTTGGTGTATGTTGATAAGTTGGAAATATTGGTCTATACAGTACTGTATTTATTCTACAATAAGTCCAGGGTCCAACACTCAAAATCGGGGGGCCCTTAGGGCTGTCACTTATTATTACTCACTCGAAGCCAGTGGATGGACTTGTTACTGGAATATATTATTGTTTTTTAGTTTAACTTATGAACTTATTGCTAGATGAATGTTACATATTCCAGCTTATTATATATCCCATGGCTCTCCTCATGCTGTGCTGGACACCATGATGTGCTCTTAAACTGGAGAGACTGGAAGTGATTAGAGTGTTTGCTTGTCCAATATAGACATTTTTTATGATTAAGTAAAAATGACAGTGTACGCATTTGTGTTCTAGACTCAAGTAGAGATTCTTAAGAAAAGGAATTCTAAATACATAAGATTATCATAACTTAATGATAAAATGTAACTACGTTTTGTTAGGAAATTTTGAATAAGAAATTGAATGCCATGTTTGATCATTATCATTGAAATACGTGTCAACTTTCCAAGCTTTTGCAGGCTGTTGATTCTGATATATTGAAATAAACAGAAAAATGACAAGGAAGCTTGATGCCACACTCAGGCAAAAACACTTTATTTTGTGTATTTTACAGACTCATCACCTCTGCAGGTACACTTATTTACTTATTTAGTGAAGAACTGTAACACCACATGAATTTCACATACAACAAACACACACTACCAGTCAAAGAAACACAACAGGACACCTTAAAGGGTAACATAGGACTCACACCGGAGCGTAGGTGCCCACACACTCCTGCACTCCCCCTCTCCTCAAAATGAATAGGACCTCTTCCCCATTTCTATACTCTGCCCCATACCTACAACCTATCTTTCCTACCTCTCCCAGAAGTCTTCCTTTCCTCTCACCCCTCCCTTTAACACACTTAGGATATCCCATAGCACTCACTCTGTCAGTAGGTAACCTTGTAACAAGTCTGTTTCATTAACCACTTACTAAGCTCCTACTAACACCTCCAACCTCTTTTGATACTTACCTCACAGTCACAAAATATTATCATATAAACATCATATAACTGTACAGACACGAAAAACAAATCACCACCAGCACCTTACTAACAACTAAACCACAGTCCATCGGATGGGACTCAAAATGGTGACCCGTGTGAGAATGTCAAACTCGCACGATAAAGATCCCTCTGGTTTTTCAAAGCAGGCATTATAACGCCGGCCCAGAGGTTATGGTTAGATTAGCAGTAGGGACTATTTATTAAATAATTTTGAAATATACTTTCCTCATAGAGAAATTTATTTAGTGTAGGATCCCCTCCCTCTCTCTCTTTTCTTAACCGGTCCTCTTGCTTTGATGTGCTTAGTATTAGGCTAGGTCTACAATAAGGCTCAAGAGTCATCTTCTAAATTACAGTTTAGAAACAGGTCAGATAGCATAGAGGGCCCCTCTCTATCTCATCTCTGTAATTCATTCTCTCCCATCAATCCTTTTCCTATCTACTCTTTTTCCTATCTTCTCTTGTCTGCTGAAAGCCTGAAGGGCATAATAGTGGACATAAAACCTGTTAAATAGGTATATGATATATTGTGAGATGTTGTATGTATATCTGTGTCAATGTAGGATTATTTGGTGTGTTTATTTAATGGTATACACAAATGTATTGTTGTCCAACACCAATGCAATTCCCAATAACTGTTCACAAAAACTGATCAATGATTTATGTTTTGTTTCTTTTCTGGGGAAAACGATGAATAAAACTTAATTATTTCTTAGAATGTTGTTGATTTTAATTGCACAACAACTTCAGTTAAGTACAAAGTAGCACTTTATAAGAGAAGTTTTAAAAGTGACCCTGTTCAGCGTTAGGCTGTTTAAATCGCATATTAATTCAGTCTATTACACAAGAGATTCATCATAATATTGTCTTCATAAGGTTTATGTTCACAAGAAATCACCAGAGGAACTTCACATCCATCATCACATCATCTGCACACTACAGAAGTCTGACACCAGTACAGCACCTGTTTTGTCAGCAGTAATGACACTACAGAAGTCTGACACCTGTACAAAAACCTGTTTTGTCAGCAGTAATGACACTACAGAAGTCTGACACCTGTACAAAAACCTGTTTTGTCAGCAGTAATGACACTACAGAAGTCTGACACCTGTACAGCACCTGTTTTGTCAGTAGTAATGACACTACAGAAGTCTGACACCAGTACAGCACGTGTTTTGTCAGTGGTAATGACACTACAGAAGTCTGACACCAGTACAGCACCTGTTTTGTCAGCAGTAATGACACTACAGAAGTCTGACACCAGTACAGCACCTGTTTTGTCAGCAGTAATGACACTACAGAAGTCTGACACCTGTACAAAAACCTGTTTTGTCAGCAGTAATGACACTACAGAAGTCTCACACCAGTACAGCACCTCTTTTGTCAGCAGTAACGACACTACAATGGTCTGATACCAGTACAGCACCTATTTGTCAGTAGTAATGACACTACAGAAGTCTGACACCAGTACAGCACCTGTTTTGTCAGTAGTAATGACACTACAGAGGTCTGACACCAGTACAACACCTATTTTGTCAGTGGTAATGACACTACAGAAGTCTGACACCAGTACAGCACCTGTTTTGTCAGTAGTAATGACACTACAGAGGTCTGACACCAGTACAGCACCTGTTTTGTCAGCAGTAATGACACTACAGAAGTCTGACACCTGTACAAAAACCTGTTTTGTCAGCAGTAATGACACTACAGAAGTCTCACACCAGTACAGCACCTCTTTTGTCAGCAGTAACGACACTACAATGGTCTGATACCAGTACAGCACCTATTTGTCAGTAGTAATGACACTACAGAAGTCTGACACCAGTACAGCACCTGTTTTGTCAGTAGTAATGACACTACAGAGGTCTGACACCAGTACAACACCTATTTTGTCAGTGGTAATGACACTACAGAAGTCTGACACCAGTACAGCACCTGTTTTGTCAGTAGTAATGACACTACAGAGGTCTGATACCAGTACAACACCAGTTTTGTCAGTAGTAATGACACTTCAATGGTCTGACACCAGTACAGCACCTGTTTTGTCAGTAGTAATGACACTACAGAAGTCTGACACCAGTACAACATCTGTTTTGTCAGTGGTAATGACACTACAGACGCCTGACACCTGTACAGCACCTGTTATGTCAGTAATAACACTACAGAAGTCTGACACCGGTACAGCACCTGTTTTGTCAGCAGTAACGACACTACAGAGGTCTGACACCTGTACAGCACCTGTTTTGTCAGCAGTAATGACACTACAGAGGTCTGACACCAGTACAACACCTGTTTTGTCAGTAGTAATGACACTACAATGGTCTGACACCAGTACAACACCTGTTTTGTCAGTAGTAATGACACTACAAAGGTCTGACACCAGTACAACACCTGTTTCGTAAGTATTAATGACACTACAGAAGTCTGACATAAGTACAGCACCTGTTTTGTCAGTAGTAATGACACTACAGACGTCTGACACCAGTACAGCACCTGTTTTGTCAGTAGTTATGACACTACAGAGGTCTGACACCTGTACAACACTTGTTTTGTCAGCAGTAATGACACTACAGAAGTCTGACATAAGTACAGCACATGTTTTGTCAGTAGTAATGACACTACAGACGTCTGACACCAGTACAGCACCTGATTTGTCAGTAGTAATGACACTACAATGGTCTGACACCTGTACAAAACCTGTTTTGTCAGTAGTAACGACACTACAGACGTCTGACACCAGTACAGCACCTGATTTGTCAGTAGTAATGACACTACAATGGTCTGACACCTGTACAAAACCTGTTTTGTCAGTAGTAACGACACTACAGACGTCTGACACCAGTACAACACTTGTTTTGTCAGTAGCTAGGGTCCTGAGTTATATCAATATTCCATGGACACAAGTTGTAAGTAAAGACACTGACGACAAATGGTTTTGATTGTTGTATTTCGTTATGACAACATGTTAGTGTATTGATTATGTGATAAAACATGACATACAATGGTTATTGGACCATATTGCACCGAATAAAAAGTTTGGATTAAATGATACCACGTAACATTATAAACTGAAATTTAACCGAAATTAGACTATTTGGGAAATCATCCTTCGCGGGCACCATAACTCTGTAGTCGAACGCAACCTGAAGCTAAAGTGACGTCTGCTGCAACAACAAACATGGCAACACTTGGCAGATCAACAGACAATGTTCAATGTTTCTAAAATTCTCGTCGACAAAGATGCTGTCAATAAGCCTACTAAATGTACCATCGATGCTGTCGATGTCTTATTTCATTGAATCCGGGAGACAGAGATTGGTGTCGGTAACTGTAGTCCAGGGGATATAGCTGCATTGTTGTAGAATTTTTAAATAACAAAAAAAGACACGTGTGTGAACAAGCCTGATGATAAAGAAAGCATGTGCCTGTGTACTACTATGTTATTGTGAACAATTGATTACAGAAGAAATGTCGCATACTATCTACTTGTTAATAAAATTATCGAGCAAACTTGACTTCTGTTATGTTTTGTTCGGTATAATATAGTAAGTATGGCCCTCTGTGTCGGAATACATCCCTCAGCAAAATAAGCCTACTAAGGGAGATAATTCTGGATGTATTTCGGGACACAGAGGGCAAAAATGGTATATTACATTTCGGGATAAAAATCTCATTGTTTCTCCTATTGAATGACTAATGTACTATAGTCATTCTTAAAAAGATTGTTTTACTAATTTCTTAAAGGGTTTTAGTGAAAAAAAGTGATTAAATACGAAATTCTAATATTTTCTATATCCAAAATTAAAAACAGTATATCGGAAATTCACAGCCATTAGATTTGATTTTTGTAAGCCTGATCATACAGTTTAACATTTCTGTTGGAACGTCATTATCGTGATACTTTGAGCATCATTCCTGGTCTAATGTTTAACATTATATATGTTTAAATCACCAGTGAGTAGGGAGTGTTAGTGACTGATTTTATTACATTGATACAAAGCATTACCAGTTTTTGATATTTTACATGACGACGTGTAAAGCAGATCGTCCTCTGTTGATAGAAATTAGAAGTCTTCGAGATTATCTTTGGCATAATTGATAAAGCATATACCTGTAATGTATCTTTAATGACATAATACCTGGGGGCATACCCTATCGAATATTTCGAAAATTCTATATTAATTCTTGATATGTTTCTCTGACAAATTTATTTCATTTATAGAACGATGATATCATGATTTTATGTTATTTGTCATGGAGAGTTGTGAGTCCATGTCCTTCACACTCTGGTGTAGGACTCTTAATATAATAACTTCTATTTTATACACTTTATACACTTCTTGATTTTAGTATAAACGTTAGTTACTTTGTTAAAGTATTCATCAATTGTTATCAATCTTTGTAACTCTTCAATTTGGAGGAAATAAAGAAATAATGATAACCATCATACCCAGTGTCAATTACGATGACGTAAACTTAATTGATTAAAAAATATCTTCCAGAGTTCAATTTGGTACCGACTGTAAGGAACGACAACTCTGGTAGAAATTGGAAAACCTGCGGTACTAAATACAGACCATCGACTGTAATATACAGATAAGATTGTCCAGTCCAAACAGAAGTCCTTCCTCGAACTCTACACCGAGACTTCGTTCTTTCATTTCAGACTTCTGCACTGCTCGGCCGAAATCAATCAATCTCGCATCCGCTGCATCACATTGAGACTGAAGAATGGCTTCCATTTCGAATGCTTCCCTTTTCCCGCCATCTTTTTGATCACGTGGTGCGTGTTCATATAAATGTTCTGATTGCTTAGACATTCTATCAGAACATCTATGAGCTGACTTTGAATGGTCAAGATGAAGAGCAGTGTCTATATAACCGTCATAAAACAGCAGTAGAGAAGAACCGAAGAAATAAAACTTGTCCTGTGTCGACAAGACGAGACGGAGTCTTCGCAGTTTACTTATCATCCGGGCCACCAAATGTACATTCAGCATATGGCTGCGGTTAAAGAACTGTCTGAGCACCTGACGAAGCCCGGAGTCATCTAAAGTCCAGCCATAGAATTTGTTGTGTGATAAGTATGTGTTAGACTCGGACTGGTACATCTGTAAACAAACATTACAAGCGTGTATACATCACACAAAGCCCCATTCCTTCTGTAACATGTAACGGTAGAAAACAGAAAAATATCTCAGAGAGATGGAACACTTTCTAATAATTGTCTAAACAGGTGGTCACGATTGACACTGAAATTTATATTTCTGTCTCTGACACTAATTCCAGAATCTCGAATTTTACATCTTATTTTTAATCGTTTATTTTCGTCTTGATTGTTTATATAGATTGTTGAAGTGTGTACAATCGGAGATGGAATCCCAACACTCCAGTTACACTAATGTATGTAAAAGGATTCAGTGCAGGCCTTTAGGGTCAGTATCAAATACTAGATGAGTTGTAACTCCTAAAAGAAAATGTGTGGTCAATGAGATTGCAGACCTTGACACCGAAAATCAAGATTAACCGTTAGATATTAAGGCCAGGCGCTCTGAACTAAATGTTACATTGTAAACACATTAACGTATATACTGGTATTTTATCAGAGATGGTGCACTCATTTACTTTAACTGTATGTTTAGAGAAGATTTTTATCATAAACAGTGATTAGTGAAGTCTTGCTAAAGGAAACAGAGGTTCTCAACAGCTTGCAAAATGCAGTTTTACATCGATGTTTGTGTTAAAGATAAGATCTTAAAACATGTATATCATACAATCTGTATCCCATTAATAGTTTTAATTCAAAACCTGTTCCACTGGATCAAAGTCACGCAGTTATGAATGGCATTATATAAGATGGACTTACATGCATTCCAGTCAACCGGATACCCAGACTTCCGGAAGTAGAATGTGCTGATCTAAATTCTCGTAACTTCCGATCCTTTTCAGAAGTATCATCACCAGTTTGCTTCGTTCCTAATTTTAGATCCAGTATACACGGCATTCTCAGCGACCCAACCAGATTTTCCAGCATAATGTAATCTTTATAATGTTCAAGAAATGTTCATATATATATACACCGGTAAGTATTTTAACTTTCCCGTCGAGAGCAGATCTTGAAAAAAAATCTTGCTTCACAATAAATTTGTAAATCATTTCATGAGAGGAATGCAATAAGTTCAACTAATATCATATTTCAATAAATTTGAGAGGAAGGACAAATATTAAATGTTACGGAATCAATGTAGAGGTATAGGATCAATGAAGTAATAGCAACAGTACGGACAAGCTGATTGTCACGTGGTGTTAAAGGATACTATGGTCAGTGCTGTCGGCCCAGAAATCCCTGTACCCTTTTTCACACGTCCTACTCCAGTTGTCCAGCCCTAACTTCAATGCATCACAGTCATCACTAAAATACAAGTAGATATATAAATAACACCTTACCATACATATAATTACGGTCTCGATAATTGACAGAATGCAGAATGGTCCTCTTTTTTTTCAGGCGATGTCTAGAGGAATATCGTTTGTTGTCGAGTTCGAAATACGATTTTGTTGACATTTCAGTATTGTTGTGCTGTTATGATGCGGTGAAGCACACCTGTTTTTTGAGTCCTAAACGCCACCTAAACTACTCGCTGCTTCCCACAGGTTTCTTATTTAACGTGTTAAGTCCAGTGCGATATTCAAAAACCTGTTCCTCGTATCATGATTTCGACTACAGACGGGAAAACGACTAGGGAATTAAATGACCTGATAAGGCATTAGTGAGGTTTAATGTTCGGCGTTCTTATAGTTTGATTGACACTACTCCATTCTTGAGAACGTGACATTACATGGATTTATCCTGGATTTATTTGGCGATATACCCTTGGCAACACCGTTATCATGAGACTTCTTCTTATTCTTGTTCAGTTTCAGAAGGGATCTCATTGAATCGATTTTAATCCGAATTACGCTCGTTCGGGTAGCAAGCTCTCCCCAACACGTTCAATATCTAAGTTTGTTTAAAATGTTGAGAGAACTGTCAAAAGCGTCTAATGAAGAAAACTCATTGATGGATTAATCCATTTTAATGGTGATGTTGGACTTCTGTGCTTACATGTTATTTTGATGATCTTTGTTCCAAAGTATATATCCGGGTACTTCAGCATAAAACGTAAGCTTATCTTCTTCCTTGCTGCACTTTACAGTTACCAAACCTGAGGAGATATTATATACAACATCACGTATGTAACGGTCACCCTGATCATATACGTCATAACAAACAAATATTTATTAGCTGTAAAACCAAACCAAAAGTATTCCAATGCGCAACAGGTACTGTATTCATGTTATAAAATCATCGTGTAGCTGATCAAGGTCAATCAATAATTACTTATGTTGTGTAGCTGATCAAGGTCAATCAATAATTACTTATGTTATGTAGCTGATCAAGGTCAATCAATAATTACTTATGTAGTGTAGCTGATCAAGGTCAATCAATAATTACTTATGTAGTGTAGCTGATCAAGGTCAATCAATAATTACTTATGTAGTGTAGCTGATCAAGGTCAATCAATAATTACTTATGTTATGTAGCTGATCAAGGTCAATCAATAATTACTTATGTAGTGTAGCTGATCAAGGTCAATCAATAATTACTTATGTAGTGTAGCTGATCAAGGTCAATCAATAATTACTTATGTTATGTAGCTGATCAAGGTCAATCAATAATTACTTATGTAGTGTAGCTGATCAAGGTCAATCAATAATTACTTATGTAGTGTAGCTGATCAAGGTCAATCAATAATTACTTATGTTATGTAGCTGATCAAGGTCAATCAATAATTACTTATGTAGTGTAGCTGATCAAGGTCAATCAATAATTACTTATGTAGTGTAGCTGATCAAGGTCAATCAATAATTACTTATGTTGTGTAGCTGATCAAGGTCAATCAATAATTACTTATGTTATGTAGCTGATCAAGGTCAATCAATAATTACTTATGTAGTGTAGCTGATCAAGGTCAATCAATAATTACTTATGTAGTGTAGCTGATCAAGGTCAATCAATAATTACTTATGTAGTGTAGCTGATCAAGGTCAATCAATAATTACTTATGTTATGTAGCTGATCAAGGTCAATCAATAATTACTTATGTAGTGTAGCTGATCAAGGTCAATCAATACTTTCTTATGTTATTTATCTTATCAAGGTAAATCAATAATTACTTTTGTAGCTGATCAAGGTCAATCAATAATTACTTATGTTGTGTAGCTGATCAAGGTCAATCAATAATTACTTATGTTATGTAGCTGATCAAGGTCAATCAATAATTACTTATGTAGCTGATCAAGGTCAATCAATAATTACTTATGTTGTGTAGCTGATCAAGGTCAATCAATAATTACTTATGTAGTGTAGCTGATCAAGGTCAATCAATAATTACTTATGTTATGTAGCTGATCAAGGTCAATCAATAATTACTTATGTAGCTGATCAAGGTCAATCAATAATTACTTATGTTGTGTAGCTGATCAAGGTCAATCAATAATTACTTATGTAGTGTAGCTGATCAAGGTCAATCAATAATTACTTATGTAGTGTAGCTGATCAAGGTCAATCAATAATTACTTATGTAGCTGATCAAGGTCAATCAATAATTACTTATGTTGTGTAGCTGATCAAGGTCAATCAATAATTACTTATGTAGTGTAGCTGATCAAGGTCAATCAATAATTACTTATGTTATGTAGCTGATCAAGGTCAATCAATAATTACTTATTTTGTGTAGCTGATCAAGGTCAATCAATAATTACTTATGTAGTGTAGCTGATCAAGGTCAATCAATAATTACTTATGTAGTGTAGCTGATCAAGGTCAATCAATAATTACTTATGTTGTGTAGCTGATCAAGGTCAATCAATAATTACTTATGTTGTGTAGCTGATCAAGGTCAATCAATAATTACTTATGTAGTGTAGCTGATCAAGGTCAATCAATAATTACTTATGTTGTGTAGCTGATCAAGGTCAATCAATAATTACTTATGTTGTGTAGCTGATCAAGGTCAATCAATAATTACTGATGTAGTGTAGCTGATCAAGGTCAATCAATAATTACTTATGTAGTGTAGCTGATCAAGGTCAATCAATAATTACTTATGTTATGTAGCTGATCAAGGTCAATCAATAATTACTTATGTTGTGTAGCTGATCAAGGTCAATCAATAATTACTTATGTTATGTAGCTGATCAAGGTCAATCAATAATTACTTATGTAGTGTAGCTGATCAAGGTCAATCAATAATTACTTATGTAGTGTAGCTGATCAAGGTCAATCAATAATTACTTATGTTGTGTAGCTGATCAAGGTCAATCAATAATTACTGATGTAGTGTAGCTGATCAAGGTCAATCAATAATTACTTATGTAGTGTAGCTGATCAAGGTCAATCAATAATTACTTATGTAGTGTAGCTGATCAAGGTCAATCAATAATTACTTATGTAGTGTAGCTGATCAAGGTCAATCAATAATTACTTATGTAGTGTAGCTGATCAAGGTCAATCAATTATTATTATTCTCTTTATTGCCTCCAGAGATGAAGATTACAGAAGAATGTAGAACATATATACAAAGCGTACGATACATATATAAATGATTACAGAATATGAATAACATAGATACACACTTTATGCTTTAGGAGTAGGCATATCAAGTGCAAATTTAGCGAAAGGGGGTATTTTAAGGTATACCCAAAGAGTTTCAAAATACAATTTTCTGACACAAATCAGGTAAATTATAATGCATTGTTAAGTCACATGACTCCTACAAAATGTACATGGACTATTTGTTATCCTTATCATTATATATATTAATTATAATATAGTTTACACATCTTGAACACACAAATACAGGATTTTATCCTGAATTCAATCAGCTCTTCTGCACTAATTTGATAGTTTACATTTCCTCCAATCAATATATGTAATAACTGAAGGTCTGGGAGAGAGTGTAAATAAACACTAAACAGTATATCAGTGGTATTAATTATACAGCACCACAGTTGGTCCCTCAACTCGGAAGTATAGATACACTGTAGCACTAGATGTGTCATAGGGTCTTGATATAGAAACCCACATTTGTGACATAATTCCATGGTAGTCAAGCTACGAATGGTTACCACTATTTTCATTATGTAATGTATATATTTTCTGTATTGAGGAAATCGAAGTGCTAACTTCCATAAAATACTAGGTTTGGGTTGGTTATGTATTTCTCTAAACCTTGTAAAATCATCATCAAACTTCATACGTTCCTTTAGATTGTACTCTTCATATTTCATTACAGCATTATATACTGTTGTTTTCCAATGGCTTTTCTTTCGAAAAATTCCAGTTACTACAAAAGTATCTAGATTTTGAAGCAGTGAATACTTTTTTAATATTTTGACTATGTCTGGAATGAAACCGATCTGGTATGGTCTACCTGGTCGAAACAAAAATAGTCTGGTAATGAAAACTTTATAAACAAAAGACATTGTTTTCAATCTACACAATCTTCCAAAAAATAACTTTCTAATGTCTATATATGCTTCGATAGAGGTCCAACCAAGTACAGATGTACACATATCTGTTCTGGTTCTCTTTTCAAACCCTTGAATAGACATGTAGTGTAGCTGATCAAGGTCAATCAATAATTACTTATGTTGTGTAGCTGATCAAGGTCAATCAATAAATAGGACAGTAAACGACCACTAACTGAAGAGTAAACAAATACAGTTGTTTTTCTACTGTTAGGACAGTTAAAGACTACAGAACTGAAGGTTACAAAATACAGCTGTTTTTCTACTGTTAGGACAGTTAAAGACTACAGAACTGAAGGTTACAAAATACAGCTGTTTTTCTACTGTTAGGACAGTTAAAGACTACTGAACTGAAGAGTTACAAAATACAGCTGTTTTTCTACTGTTAGGACAGTTAAAGACTACTGAACTGAAGGTTACAAAATACAGCTGTTTTTCTACTGTTAGGACAGTTAAAGACTACAGAACTGAAGGTTACAAAATACAGCTGTTTTTCTACTGTTAGGACAGTTAAAGACTACTGAACTGAAGGTTGCAAAATACAGTTGTTTTTCTACTGTTAGGACAGTTAAAGACTACTGAACTGAAGAGTTACAAAATACAGCTGTTTTTTTACTGTTATGACAGTTAAAGACTACAGAACTGAAGGTTACAAAATACAGCTGTTTTTCTACTGTTAGGACAGTTAAAGACTACAGAACTGAAGGTTACAAAATACAGCTGTTTTTCTACTGTTAGGACAGTTAAAGACTACAGAACCGAAGAGTTACAAAATACAGCTGTTTTTCTACTGTTATGACAGTTAAAGACTACTGAACTGAAGGTTACAAAATACAGCTGTTTTTCTACTGTTAGGACAGTTAAAGACTACAGAACTGAAGGTTACAAAATACAGCTGTTTTTCTACTGTTAGGACAGTTAAAGACTACTGAACTGAAGGTTGCAAAATACAGTTGTTTTTCTACTGTTAGGACAGTTAAAGACTACTGAACTGAAGAGTTACAAAATACAGCTGTTTTTCTACTGTTAGGACAGTTAAAGACTACTGAACTGAAGAGTTACAAAATACAGCTGTTTTTTTACTGTTATGACAGTTAAAGACTACAGAACTGAAGGTTACAAAATACAGCTGTTTTTCTACTGTTATGACAGTTAAAGACTACAGAACTGAAGGTTACAAAATACAGCTGTTTTTCTACTGTTATGACAGTTAAAGACTACAGAACTGAAGGTTACAAAATACAGCTGTTTTTCTACTGTTAGGACAGTTAAAGAGTACTGAACTGAAGGTTACAAAATACAGCTGTTTTTCTACTGTTAGGACAGTTAAAGAGTACTGAACTGAAGGTTACAAAATACAGCTGTTTTTCTACTGTTAGGACAGTTAAAGACTACAGAACTGAAGAGTTACAAAATACAGCTGTTTTTCTACTGTTATGACAGTTAAAGACTACAGAACTGAAGGTTACAAAATACAGCTGTTTTTCTACTGTTAGGACAGTTAAAGGCTACAGAACTGAAGGTTACAAAATACAGCTGTTTTTCTACTGTTAGGACAGTTAAAGACTACTGAACTGAAGAGTTACAAAATACAGCTGTTTTTCTACTGTTAGGACAGTTAAAGGCTACAGAACTGAAGGTTACAAAATACAGCTGTTTTTCTACTGTTAGGACAGTTAAAGACTACTGAACTGAAGGTTACAAAATACAGCTGTTTTTCTACTGTTAGGACAGTTAAAGAGTACTGAACTGAAGAGTTACAAAATACAGCTGTTTTTCTACTGTTAGGACAGTTAAAGACTACAGAATTAAAGGTTACAAAATACAGCTGTTTTTCTACTGTTAGGACAGTTAAAGACTACAGAACCGAAGAGTTACAAAATACAGCTTTTTTTTTACTGTTATGACAGTTAAAGACTACAGAACTGAAGGTTACAAAATACAGCTGTTTTTCTACTGTTAGGACAGTTAAAGACTACTGAACTGAAGGTTACAAAATAAATCTACCTATTGTGCCTTACCCCTTTCACTCTCTGATATTTAGCATTAGCAGAGTTAGTTTGAAGGCATATTCCATGCGCATTACTATGGAAATTGATCTAGGACATTTCGTTTCGCCAACGCGACAAAGCGAAATCAACCGCCATACATTGGTCTGTGTTTTCTCCCATTTCCTGTTACTAGGGAGAGGTAAAATGTCTCTCAGTAAATCGGGGCGTAGTGCTCTTGGAAAATTAAAGGGTATACTTCAAGACGCAGCATTATCCTACATATTTTTCTGAAACAATTCTGGAACAATTTTTTCAAGTAAACTTTTTGTTTTGAATTACTTGTTTTTTCTGTTTTTATTATTTTTGCGATCGATCTATTTGGATTAGATAGATTTACCTTTGTATTGCGGGGTAAATGCCTTCAGGATTTCCGGAATATTTTCGTAGAACTGGACCTCTCGCTTGGTGTATAATTTACATATTGTTTCTGGTGTGATAACCAACATGGACGTTCGGCCACCGACTTGATGGACAAAGGGTTTGGCTTTCACCGTCTGGGTGTCGGCCTTACATACCGTTTTCATTGCTCTGGTAATCAGTTAAGTGAAACCTGTATAACGATAATAGATAGATAATAGATACATACATGAACACACCACAAGAAAGTTCATGTCTCGTCGTTATGACAGTCACTCCTCTAAGCTGTCAACTTTTCAAAATTCTGATTGGGAGAGAAGTGCGTGAACGACATTTTTGATTCGCCATGATACCTTGCGCGTCGCGACATTTGTCACAAAGGGGAAAAGTAATTAATGTATCTATAGTCAATACATCTAGATAACTTAAAATTGATAAAGTGCATTCTCTACTATAACAATGAAAACATATCTGGGTTTTTTTTTCGCAAGTAAGGTTCAAGTTGGAATATATTAGTCAACTTTTCAGTGAGTGAAATATTTGCTTGTTCTGATTTTAAACTCATGATGCCAACTTAGCCGTTTTTAAGGACTGATGTGGTTAAATTATTGATATCGATTGAGGAATACCTGCACATTATTACATCATAAATATCGTTTTTCAAACAATTTTCTTGTTGAATTTGTTATTTGATCGAATGTGTAGTAATAAACATGGTAATAACTTCATAATTATCGGTAAAATGACCTCATCTTAACCAAACATTTACCAGGGCCCACCCTTGAGTCCTTGCAATGGTATACCGTTAGTCAGGTAGGGAACAATCGGCCCTGGAGTGTGCTCCCAAGCGTAGCGGTCAGTTCGGGTGACACTAATTAGATAATTGGGCAGTGTTGTACTTACCTATGTGGTCAGGTGGTCGGTTTATTCCTGTAATTCTTACCTGCCCCAAAAGTATGTTTGTTGTTACAGTGGCTAGTGTCTCAAGGTGTTGTTTCAATAGGTAATTTGTCACCAAATATACAGGTAAATAGGAAGTGACATGTGATATTATATAGAAAAATGTAATTGAGAGATGAAAAAAGATCACACAGGAAATAATTAGATTTGGAGTTCTCGGTCCCATGTGCATAACTCAATTTCAAAGTGTCACCCCATGCATTGTGTTTCATTACAATTCACAACAAATGTAGACAAAAATTAATACATACATATTCACCCACACATTTAGTCAGGAAATACGTATGCTTATTACATATTTAAGGAAATAGAAGGTTGTTGATTATGTCTCAAAGCATCAAAATAATGTCTTTTCAAATAGAAAAGTGATTGTAAAAGGCAATGGTCATTCCACTGAGGAATTTACACATTTTAGCTATACCACAAAAATACCGTCTTTATATTTAGTTAAGACGAACTTATATCGAGAGTTATGGTCCTTAAACTGAGAAAAGTTCATTAAGATCAATTTCCGCTTATTTTATCAGAGCTTTGGGAATACTGAAAGAATTTGGAAGTGCAGTTATGTCGAAAGGAGACAGATCATATCATATCTGGTTATTTTATATGATTATAGTGAGACGAAATTGAAATAGCAAATACACTTAACAGATAAGGAAAGTGAGAATGAAACATTATTCAGGGAAAATGAAACATTATTCAGGGAAATAGTAGAGATGCTTAACAGATAAGGAAAGTGAGAATGAAACATTATTCAGGGAAATAGTAGAGATGCTTAACAGATCAGGAAAGTGAGAATGAAACATTATTCAGGGAAATAGTAGAGATGCTTAACAGATCAGGAAAGTGAGAATGAAACATTATTCAGGGAAATAGTAGAGATGCTTAACAGATCAGGAAATGGAAAAGATACAGGAAAAAAATATACATAGAAGAAAGATGTGTTCGTGATAAATAAAATAATAAAAAATTACCAATGGAAGATTTCAGAAATACTTCTATATGGATGATGTGACTTTATGAGAACGTACGTACATAAATACTTGTATATGGATGATGTGACTATGAGAACGTACGTACATAAATACTTGTATTTGGAGGATGTGACTATGAGAACGTACGTACATAAATACTATGTGAACGTACGTACATAAATACTTGTATATGGATGATGTGACTTGATGAGAACGTACGTACATAAATACTGTATATGGATGATGTGATGTGTACATAAATACTTGTATATGGATGATGTGACGTACGTACATAAATACTTGTATATGGATGATGTGACTTTATGTATATGGATGATGTGACTTTATTAACGACGTACATAAATAATGGATGATGTGACTTTATCAGAACGTACGTACATAAATACTGTATATGGATGATGTGACTTGATGAGAACGTACGTACATAAATACTTGTATATGGATGATGTGACTTGATGAGAACGTACGTACATAAATACTTGTATATGGATGATGTGACTTGAGAACTGTATATGGACTTACATAAATACTTGTATATGGATGATGTGACTTTATGAGAACGTACGTACATAAATACTTGTATATGGATGATGTGTACATAAATACTGTATATGGATGATGTGACTTGATGAGAACGTACGTACATAAATACTTGTATATGGATGATGTGACTTGATGAGAACGTACGTACATAAATACTTGTATATGGATGATGTGACTTATGAGAACGTACGTACATAAATACTTGTATATGGAGGATGTGACTTGAGGTGAACGTACGTACATAAATACTGTATATGGATGATGTGACTTTATGAGAACGTACGTACATAAATACTTGTATATAGATGATGTGACTATGAGAACGTACGTACATTACATAATTACTTGTATATGGATGATGTGACTTGATGAGAACGTACGTACATAAATACTTTACATGGATGATGTGACTTGATGAGAACGTACGTACATAAATACTGTATATGGATGATGTGACTTTATATACGTACATAAATACTTGTATATGGATGATGTGACTTTATGAGAACGTAGTACATAAATACTTGTGTACGTACGTACATAAATACTTGTATATGGATGATGTGACTATGAGAACGTACGTACATAAATACTTGTATATGGATGATGTGACTTTATCAGAACGTACGTACATAAATACTGTATATGGATGATGTGACTTTATGAGAACGTACGTACATAAATACTTGTATATGGATGATGTGACTATGAGAACGTACGTACATAAATACTTGTATATGGATGATGTGACTTGATGAGAACGTACGTACATAAATACTTGTATATGGATGATGTGACTATGAGAACGTACGTACATAAATACTTGTATATGGATGATGTGACTTTATCAGAACGTACGTACATAAATACTGTATATGGATGATGTGACTTGATGAGAACGTACGTACATAAATACTTGTATATGGATGATGTGACTATGAGAACGTACGTACATAAATACTGTATATGGATGATGTGACTATGAGAACGTACGTACATAAATACTGGTATATGGATGATGTGACTTGATGAGAACGTACGTACATAAATACTTGTATATGGATGATGTGACTATGAGAACGTACGTACATAAATACTTGTATTTGGAGGATGTGACTATGAGAACGCACGTACATAAATACTTGTATATGGATGATGTGACTTGATGAGAACGTACGTACATAAATACTTGTATATGGATGATGTGACTATGAGAACGTACGTACATAAATACTTGTATATGGATGATGTGACTTGATGAGAACGTACGTACATAAATACTTGTATATGGATGATGTGACTATGAGAACGTACGTACGTACATAAATACTTGTATATGGATGATGTGACTTGATGAGAACGTACGTACATAAATACTTGTATATGGATGATGTGACTTTATGAGAACGTACGTACATAAATACTTGTATATGGATGATGTGACTATGAGAACGTACGTACATAAATACTTGTATATGGATGATGTGACTTGATGAGAACGTACGTACATAAATACTTGTATATGGATGATGTGACTTGATGAGAACGTACGTACATAAATACTGTATATGGATGATGTGACTTGATGAGAACGTACGTACATAAATACTTGTATATAGATGATGTGACTTTATCAGAACGTACGTACATAAATACTTGTATATGGATGATGTGACTTGATGAGAACGTACGTACATAATTACTTGTATATGGATGATGTGACTATGAGAACGTACGTACATAATTACTTGTATATGGATGATGTGACTTGATGAGAACGTACGTACATAATTACTTGTATATGGATGATGTGACTATGAGAACGTACGTACATAAATACTTGTATATGGATGATGTGACTATGAGAACGTACGTACATAAATACTGTATATGGAGGATGTGACTTGATGAGAACGTACGTACATAAATACTTGTATAGGGATGATGTGACTTGATGAGAACGTACGTACATAAATACTTGTATATGGATGATGTGACTTGATGAGAACGTACGTACATAAATACTTGTATATGGATGATGTGACTTGATGAGAACGTACGTACATAAATACTTGTATATGGAGGATGTGACTTGAGGTGAACGTACGTACATAAATACTGTATATGGATGATGTGACTATGAGAACGTACGTACATAAATACTTGTATATGGAGGATGTGACTTTATGAGAACGTACGTACATAAATACTTGTATATGGATGATGTGACTTGATGAGAACGTACGTACATAAATACTTGTATATGGATGATGTGACTTGATGAGAACGTACGTACATAAATACTTGTATATGGAGGATGTGACTTGATGAGAACGTACGTACATAAATACTTATATATAGATGATGTGACTTGATGAGAACGTACGTACATAAATACTTGTATATGGATGATGTGACTTGATCAGAACGTACGTACATAAATACTTGTATATGGATGATGTGACTTTATCAGAACGTACGTACATAATTACTTGTATATGGATGATGTGACTATGAGAACGTACGTACATAAATACTGTATATGGATGATGTGACTTTATCAGAACGTACGGACATAAATACTTGTATATAGATGATGTGACTATGAGAACGTACGTACATAAATACTTGTATATGGAGGATGTGACTATGAGAACGTACGTACATAA